TTCCTCTGATGCGTGCCTGCATGGCAGTGAGGATGATACTAAGCTTGTTTTCCCTGTCCTCCTCCAGCTTGGCTAGCACACCGGCGCGGAAGAACACCTTGCTGTTACCCACGCGGTACTGATCCTCGTGCAGCTCCAGTGCTTCCAGCTGCACAACAGAACAGAACACAACAGCACAATGCTAAGTAAACCCATGTTTTTTATTATTATTTTCTCGACCCACCCCCTCAACTTTGCTATCGGTCCTCTTTTAACAAATTGTTGTGTTCACCACTGTTGAGGCTTCCAATGGAAAATAAAAAGAATGCTACTTTTCCAGTACATCAGAATCTCCAGGATAAAGAATAACCCACGCCGACTAGATCCATCTGCTGGCACTACTCAAAGTGCGCATTTCTGTCGTGCATTATGGTGGTATTATTGTAAGGCCAAAACTAAAAATAAGCTTGTTTCGGGTCGGCATTTTGAATCATTAGAGAGGCTCCGCATAACAATTACATTAGTAAAAAACGTAGTCGATCTACGGAAAGTCTTACGTAAACTGCATGCGGATCTGTGTTCCGTCATCCGGTGCTTTCAAATCACGTAGCTGCCCTTGGCAACTCCGAATGCAGCAGTGTACGATCGAATAGACCTGGGAGAGAGTCGTAAATTTGTACCTCAATCCACTTAGGCGAGACCAAAAAATAGAGATTCCCGGGCCCTCCCGCACCAAAATCGAGCCAAAGCCAATTTGTTTGAAGAGTTCATACAGTCATGTACATTACTGATCGTGTGAGTAGATCTGTGACATGGAGTCACACAAACACGGGCTTGTACGACTCCCTGATGTACATATCAGGGCCATTGTTGGCCGAAATACAGAAAAATTTAATGGGTAAACTAGGGCTGAAACGATCATTCAATAACTCTTAACGATCAACCAATATCATTAACGATCGATATATTGGTTTTATCGATTCTTGTCGGCTCTACCCGTGTACCTCGAACACCAGTTTATGAAAAAATTCCACGATACCTTTGCTACGTTAGAAATTTGTGGCGCCGCACTGTGGACATCTGTAGACATCTGACTGGTTTATCAACATGACCTAGAGAATTTACTGTTGTTTCTAGAGTGAAGAATCTTGTCATCACCCTCCGACAACTGCTCTTATCTCTGACCTTTCCCGCAAATGAACTGAAAAGACAAAGAGTATTCTCTTCCGATCTCTTTCAAAGCCACAAATCAATTTTACTGCGCTTGAAAGTACATGATTGTACTCGTATTCACTATCGGATGGAGTGCAAGGGCTAGAATACCGTCACTCATATACATGCATAAAAAATCGTTAGCACTCGTTTTGAACACTAACGATTATCGATTGCACTCTTAACGATCGATATGCGAGTTATCGGTATAATTGTTTCAGCCCTAGGGTAAACCGCGTACCTGTTTTCTGTAAAAAAAAAAGTAGTGCTGAAACGATTAGGTTTTTTCCTTAGTGGCTTAGCTGATACCATAACGATCGGCTTATCGGCTAAACGATTATTATAGTAACTACATCAGTACATCAGTGCTGGCAGGCACAATGGGTTGGTCTAAGACCATGATTGAGAAACGAAAGGTACCAAGGTTCAAGTCCTGCTTGGAAGCAGAAGGATTTTTTCCAACCATGCTGCGACCCACAGTTAATTGGGAACTCGTGGCCTGGCATGAGTAATACATGGATGTGGCAATGGGATTGAGGCCTTTGGCCTATGGTTGGTGGATCTGATCTATCCTCCCCCACCGTTTAGGAGCCGCATCTGACGCCTGATCATGGGGTGGTGGCGTCCCACGGAAGCGGAAAGGTGGTTCTTGACCAGGGAGCTGTACGACTCCTTGTTCTTGACCTGCCCGGTACGCGAACCCGTCGAATATATTTTTTAATTTTATATTACATGTACATTCTGTGAATTTCAAAAAAATACCAGTCCTACATCGCCAACGACGGAAAGCGGGCGCATAGATCCGATGATCCCGCAACAAGTCCGTCAGCTGTTCGGACTGACCAGACGAATACAGACAAGACAGAGGCAACTCACTGGTTTCAACAAAAGAGCTGATGGTGCCTTTCGCCTGTGACTTCGCTGACTCCGACGATGAAGTCAGAGAAGCCGCCCAGGGGTGCAGATCGGCGGATTTCGACGGATGAGCTGACTTGAGGTGCACCAACAAGTAACTAGTTGCTTTTCCTGTCTATGCTCAAAATAGGCCCAGACGCCAGGCCTAGCTCATCGTCGAGCAAACTGGTTCGGGAACCGTTGACAGAACGGAAAACATGAAACTGAAGACCACTTTACTGTCTTTAGCTCAAGACTACTAGCACGTGGAGGGAACTCCAGCCCCTGCAGCTAGTGTAGACACATACTGAGCCTGCCCGTCCTGCATGCTGTATCAGTAAGAAAAGTAGTCAGCTCAAAAGACGGCGACGGTGATCGCGTCGATGTTTCTCAGATCGCGCTTGTACTTTACACGTACATCGATGTTGCAAGTGTACCCTCATGTACATATTCGTGTCGGACTCGCAACACTTTCGATGCATGCACGCTTTGTGCGATCCCCAAAAAGGGGGGAAATCCCGCACCGAGCGTAAGTACCATTCTACTCATTTAGCCGATAAAATCGAAATAACCGTTCGATCTATTTCTTATCGAGTAAGTAACGAGTAATCGATATAATCGTTTCGGCACTAAAAAAAAGTTAATAAAAATTACTGGAAAATACTGTAAAAAAATTCAGCATGGCCGGCCCATGGCATGGCATGCATACATTGGAAAAAAGTAAAAAATAAAAATATTCGCCCGCCCGCACCAATTTCACATGGGTCCTGCCCGGGAATCTCGATTTTAGTTTGGTTTCGCCTTAGGGAGTGCCTACGTTATCAGAGCCCTATCTACGTACTCTCCGTAGACAACTTTCCATAAGCGGAGCGCAAACTCGCGAATTCACGGGTTTTTCCCGCCCACTAACGTAAAGTTGCTCAACATTACATAGTGCGGAACCTCTCTATTGTCTAATGGCTAGGTTTGTCGTGCATCCAATGTCATAGTAACGAGGGTAGACCTGTATTTGATATGTATGTTTGGTCAGAACAACAATTGACGTGAGCGGACAGTAATATGAGTTTCTACATGTACAATAAATCCTTGACTCACCATCATCACAGCCGACCGCCGTCCCTCCATCAAGCCCTTCCGTATCAGGTTGGGCGTGAGCAGCTCGTAACGCTAACGGAACTCCTGGAACGGGACACGACTAGGGAAGCCCTGGCGGCAGATACGTATGCCCTCCAGCACTCCGTTGCATCGCAGCTGCTCCAGGATCAACGGCGGCACAATCTTGCCGGACTGCGTGGACAGGAATACACGGGTGCACGTGCACACACGAACAGGTAAGGGTGAAGTTAAGAATACACGTGCACACTCACACAGGGACAGACAGACACGGATGCAGTTTGTCAAAACATTGATCATCCAAACGATGATGTGAATCGTCACGGTCGCAGCTCATCGCAGGTGTCGCATGCAGCGCATCACATAGCAATAAGTGGCATTCAGAATGAGGCGCCTACAGACAGGTGCCCATTTCGTCCTTACCTTCTTCTCGTGATTGGGAATGATACAGCGCACAAAGTTAGGATTGGTGTTTCGAAGTGTCTCCATTAGGCGCTGGAGTTGTTCCTACATGACAGAGGACAAGCGCAAACAAGATTGCAAATGTCATTGAACCAACACACAGACACAAGAACCAGAGCAGCAGCAGCGGTGTGTACCCTGTAGATGTGTTGCCCAACGTCTCACCACTTCAGACACAGGCGATAGGATGAAGAAAACTACAATAGTCATGTCATCCGCCCCAAGTACATATGAACATTCGTGACAAGGGAAGCACTAAAAGCCACTACATGCCTCGCTACTTTTCTTTTCTTTTTATTCTCCATTTATTTCCCCTGTTTGGTATTCTATCAGTCTCTCTTCATTTTGTACATTTTGTACATAATTTTTTTTTTAATTTGACGGGTTCACGTACCGGGCAGGTCAAGAACAAGGAATCGTACAACTCCCTGGTCAAGAACATTTAACCCGTGTGAAAAGCGCTTTTAAAAATGTATGATACAAACCCTGTGTGAATGGATTGTCGGCCGTTTTCAAGAGAAAATTGAGAGGTGTGACTTCTTGGGTTCCCTTTACTTATAAGTTATACAATCAGATCTTGCTTATCCGGTCCTCTTTTATCCGGATCCCTCGCCATCCGCTAGATAATAGCTGGTTACATTTTTACAGCACACGGGATACATCTAACATAAACAGTGTTCAGTTAACCGGTTCCCTCGCCTATCCGGATATGTTTTGTGGAAAACGGATGTGTGTGGTTAAGCGAGGTCTGACTGTATACCAATGGTCACAATAAGACCTGTATATGTGCATCAGTATAGATTTCTGAAGTAAGAACAAGATTTGAGTGAGAATCAGCTATAAACCACTGACACACCCAGACAGAGCGGAGTAAAACTGAGAGTTCTAAGTTCTTCTAGTGTACCTTGTAGAGCTGTCCGACAGCGCGGAACATGCCCTTGCGAGGCCGTGTACACGCCGCATCACCCATGTTAGCAATACTGGTGATGTTTGCTGTAACGTATATGCATACAAACGTACACAGACCATGAACACACACACACACACACACACACACACACACACACACATACACATACACGCACACACACACACACATACATGCGCGCATGAGCGCACATACACACACACACACACACAATTACCACCACAAGGGCACGCACACACACACACACAGACGCTCATCCACCCACGCATGAACACACAATCAAATGATTTTACTACTTGGTTTGATACTGGCCAGAATAACAATTAGCATGGTTACAACAACTGGTAATAGGTGTCACAGTTCTAATTGAGCAAGTCTCTCATGGGTAGGTTGTCAAGCTGCTCACCCGAAAGAACTGAAGAATTCTATAGCCATGACATGACGACTGTCATTCTCAAAGCAAAACCAACAATTAGTCGGCCAATGCTAGAATGACAGTGCTTTACGCTGGCAAAAGCAGTAGCTAAACAAACACAGAGTCCAGCGCCAACTGCAACAGCATGACTACCACCATCACCACCACCACCATCACGGCCACAGGTATAATAGCAGTGATGCGAGGCAAACCAATTCCAGCGAAACCACATCTGCATGCTCTTAACCCCACATCAGCAGCATCACCAGTGAAAGCATCCCAAGCTCGAGCATCAGCAACTTACAGGTGTCCTTCCAAAGGTTGGCACAGAATGGATCAGCACAGTTCTGCAGTAGGGACACGATATTGTCATTGAGTGGATCCATGTCCTTGGTCAGCCAGCTTTCAGCCACGTATTGCACTTTGCCAGCATAATGATTCACGGTGAAGTCAGCCTTGCTGCGGAAATCTGGCTTGGACATCTTGTCGTGCTTCTTCTGCTTCTGTAGAAGCTTCTCGACAAACGTCCTGTCAGTGGCTTTGGGGAACCAGCATTCCTCGTCCAGCAGAGATAGCACTCCCATTGGCTGCAAGACACACACAGAGAGAGAGAGAGAGAGAGAGAGAGAGAGAGAGAGAGAGAGAGAGAGAGAGAGAGAGAGAGAGAGAGAGAGAGAGAGAGAGAGAGAGAGAGAGAGAGAGAGAGAGAGAGGGAGAGAGGGAGAGAGAGAGAGAGAGAGAGAGAGAGGGAGAGAGGGAGAGAGAGAGGGAGAGAGGGAGAGAGAGAGAGAGAGATAGAGAGAGAGAGAGAGTGTGTGTGTAAGTGCGGACTATTCCACGATATAAGCTACAACAGGCTCTACTGCACAAAAAAGTTCAAATCCCCTGGATAGAAAAATCAAACAGTACTCCACACCAGGTAACAGGAACTGCCCCTTCAAGACCGACAGTTCAAGTCCAAGATATCAAAGGGAATTATGCCTGATACTGTGCTATTTACTACTTCACAACGTACATGCCAGGCATGCTCTGTTTTAAAAGTTATCAAATGTGACACCCCCACCCCCAGCCCTACACACACTCACACATATACACACGACAGCCACTGGATATAAATCTCCACCTTACAAAGTTCCCAGGGTATCATACCTTCTCAATGAGATCAATGCAAGGCTGCAGATCCAATTCAAAGTCAATGAAGTTCCACTCAATACCCTCCAAACGGTACTCTTCCTGAGAACACACAAGCAAAAACAGGGAAAGAGGAAAAGGTGTAAAGCATTAGAGATAACTCATTGGTAGCGTCCCTAGAACAAAAGTGGATGAGCGCCAACCAACAACTGTACACGCACTCACAACGGCATAACCACTCGGTATCAATAATTATTTACAAAACAGCAAGAATGTATGAAGCCACAATGCTAGGCAGCATGTACACATAAGAGAAGACTTGGAACGTGCAAATAGTACAGGGCGTGCAGTGGGCGTGCAGGTTTGCTGGTGTGAACGCGTTGCAGTGCAATCAAATTGTGCCATAAGTGGAATGAGTGTACGGAGGACAGTACACCTTGATCTGGACAAAATCTCTGCGTGGATCAGTGTGATTCCTGAGGCATACACAGAGATAAGCATGGTCTCTCTCTTTCTTTCTCTCTTTGTCACTGCCTCTGTCTCTATCTCTGTCTCTCTGTGTCTCTCTGTCTCTCTGTGTCTCTCTGTCTCTCTTTCTCTCTTTCTCTCTCTACCACCCTGTTCCAGAATGAACATGGTATGGTTGAAAAGCTGCTGCAGCTTCTCGTTCGTGAAGTTGATACACATTTGCTCAAAGGAGTTCACCTGTGCAGGAAAGATCAATATTGACACGTATGCACACGTACATTTACTCACATCCTGGTCCTGGTAAACACTGCCATTACGGTCACGTGTCCCCTTACGGGGCCGACAATATAGAACGACGAGCGGGACCATGTTCGAGAGAGCCATCTCCAGCAGCTATGGATCTGGCTTATCATCGGAAACGATTCCTCTCACGGCTGCCGCTAGAACTGGTCCATCACTCTCCACAACAGAGCGAACATTCCATGAGCCAACGCTCAGAGTCGTTCCAAGTTGTTGTCTTCGTGCGGTAGTTTGCTCCACTCGCGGGCTTGCAAAGCCTCGCGAAGGACTCCGAGGTGGGGGCGACGAGGAGAGTGTCGGCATCGTAACTATCCGACCAAGTCTCCTGTCGGTGAATACCCCACCTCAGGCACTGTTGGCCTGGACGGCTGGGGACACCCCAGGCCGTCCACAACGGCGAGAACAAGCACGGACGGAGGCCAGAAACAAGAGCCCGGAAAAGTACAACCGTCCTCCACCAGAGCAGAGAACACACACATTGTCAAGATGTTCAACTATTTGAAAGATTTTCTTATCGTCGGAAACGATTCCTCTCACGGCGGCCGCTCGAACTGGTCCATCACTCTCCACAACATGGAATGTTTACTCACATACACACACACACACACACACACACACACACACACACACACACACACACACACACACACACACACACATACACACACACATACACACACACACACATACACACACACACACACACACACACACACACAGCGACTTTGTTGATAACTATAAGAAGGTGGTTTGATCGCCACACTGCAGCTCACGCTTGTTAGTGAAGTGTGAAAACAAATCGGCAACTAAAGCGTGAGCACGAGGGTAGCAACCTTGTCACGAGCATTGGGACATGAAACCCCCCAGCATGCAGAGCAATGCAATACCCGTTGTGTCCAACAGGTTTGTATACACTCTGTACAGACTACACCCTTGTTCAGCTGTCCATAGGAAAGAATTTTACAAAATCTGTTGATTCCCAAACCTGCTGAGAGTGCTCAATGGCATTAACGAGAAATATGAATACAGCCGTCCCTCTCTAATCCGGCACTTGTTTATCCGGAACCCTTGCCAACCGGCGCACTTTCTGACGAAACTATTTTTTTTCGTTCAATTCCTACATCTTAATCCGGCACTTGAATTCCGCCTCCGGCAGTGACTTTTTGAAACGAATCGCTCAAACTGCACGTAGTTTGATTTCATAATCCGGCAGTCGTAAATCGCGTACCGCACAGGTGCACTCCAGGCTAGGCCAGTCTGGTCAATGTTGTCCAGGAGACAACGGCAGTCAACCATACTTTCTTATTTTAGCAAGGAGTAGTGTCCTGCCAATTTTCAGGTGTGTGTGTATGTGTGTGCAAGACTACATGTGAACATGTTCTCTGTTTTACTTTATCACTTTATCACTGTGTATATTCCCGGAGAACAATTGAGAATATAAAGCCGTGCACCAAATACTTGGGTCGACACGGAAAAACCCAGCGTTTTGACGTACATATGATACATGCATGCAATTGGGTAGGGCCGGGTCAGAGGGCAGGATTTCTTAATCCAGCACCCTCGTTAATCCAGCAGAAAACGCCGTAGCAAAAGGTGCCGGATTAGAGAGGGACGACTGTATATACTATACTACTACTACTATTACTAAGCTTGGTATGCGGGTGTGACGTGCTGCTGCTCATCAGATTCGGTCCATGCGACTCTCGTGTTATTAGTTTTGTTATTTCGTCTGCCTTTTTTGAATTTGTAAACCAAACGGACTCAACTATCCAGTGATCAGGTACTGGTGTGGTGGGGCGAGGTTTTGTTGGTGATGCTGCTGTCAGTGGTGGCGGCGTGCATGTGCTCGTGCTTGCGGGCGATGGCCCGCGTTTTCTCCCATGCCGCAAGTTTGTCTTGCGTCTGTGTTTTGCATTTGGACTTCCTGCCAGGCTTGGAAGGCTTGCATTTCAAACAGTTTGTCCCACTGTGTGGCTCCCAGTCTTTGAGCGGTGGAGCTCCAGAGAATTTTGGGCCCCTGGCAGTAGCAGTGCATTCCATGGCCAATTTGCAACTGTGGCAAAAATGCTCAGGGAGTATTCGGTTTCATCCACATTGAGATGAAAGTTAACACTGCCAACATGGATTCAGTATGATCTGCCACACGATACTTCGTCCGTCCACTCCCTGACGCGAATTTCTCCCCTCCAATACGACAACACGACGACAGGATGCTAACATGAGCCTCCATTTCTGAACAAAATAACGTCTCTAAAATGGCCACGAAAAGCTACAGTGATGCACGTCAAGCTTAGGAATACACGAAATCGAAAGGCTAGGACATCGAGGTATACTAGAAAATTGCCTGCGAGGTGGAGAAAATTCGCTGACGAGGTTGGCGAGCCCTTGAAATTGAGCGACGATCCAAAAATAATTGCACCCACGTCGAGAAAGAAACCATGCGTAGCGCTTGGGCGGCGGCACAGTCGAAGGCAAGGCCAGTCCAAGCTCTAAACTCTATCGAATGACCTGGCAAACACCCATGGTTTCGGTTGACCTTGCCCGTTTGAGATGGAAGTCGAGCGAAATTGCAAACATACGACTAGGCCAGGTCGCGTAAAAAATGAAAAAGATTGAAATTTGGCCGCCATATTGAATGAACGCGCGTCGCATGCATGGGACAGCCGTGGGTAGAGGCGACGGTTTCAAATAGGACATAGGTTGCAAACCGGAATGGACTCAATATTCACTTTCTCTCTTCGTATTTCGATTAGAAAACATATGTCACAGTGAGACTACAATGTGTTATACTCCCAGCCAAAATTTCATGGCTCTGCGATGACCAGAAGCGCAATACCAAGCAGGTGAGTTTTTGACTTGTTGCTTCGCACTGCGACTCGAGTTTTACGACTTTCGAAAAATCAACTTCTTGTCGCAGGTAAACAGCGGCTCACCTCTCGCCAATAAAGCACCGCATACCAATCAAAACTAATGGAAGCACACACAAGGCTTATTGTTAATCTGTACTGGCCGTCGTGGAGCGATAGCAATTACCTAATTTCAGAACTCAGAGTGAATTTGACGTGCACTCCAAAACCTTTCCGGTTTGGAGCCACCTCTGATTTGAAGCGAAAAATTGGGAAACTTGGAGGCAATGGGTCAACACAAAGGAGTGGCTCAGTTCGATTGACTCTTCGATTTGGGTCTCATTCGATTCTCCCAGGCGTAGTACATAGAAAATCTGCAAGTATTATTCAAATCGGCCCAGCCATTCTTGAGTTATAGTGATTTGAAGTGCGCCAAGTTGGACTTTTGCTGGAAACAGAAATGAATGGGGGTGATGGGAGAATCGAGAACGACCGCACAGTCGAGTCAGTGCATGCAGTACAGTGTACAGATACAGTGCACACGCCTCGTCACTCGAACTGCGCGTACGAAATTGCATACTTTGGTATGCTGGCGCGGACAAATTCGCTCGTAGAGGAAGACGAAAGCGTCTCACCACCTTGTAATTTCACATGGCCAGTAGTTTTTCGACGCTGAAGACGATGGAATAGTCCGCGACGCTGCGACCCGACAAGAACAACCCGAAAATCATACCCTAAAAAAGCGCTGAGCGCAGAGCTCATCATGTGACCAAAGTTCAAAAAATTGAAAGTAAAATATTCCCTGACCCATATAGGGCAGAGCCTGTAATACCATTAACTTTCGTACTGCACATTGTGATTGTTGACAAGCAGCGCGCGGTGGATCAATATCAAACAAAGAAGTGGGTCACGATGAGTACTTACTGGGGATAATTGCGCGGCTTTGTCCCGGTCTCTCTGCATAGAACGAGCGCTCGGAACAGAATGTTGTCGAAGGCAAACCCATAGCCCGGCAAGACAGCAATGATTATGTACACAGGTTAGTGGTCGTCGAGCTGTGACTCCGTGCCAAAATCCGTCCACGTCCGCTACGGAATGCCGAATGCCGTTCGACCGAGTAACCACCGCTACACAACAGTGCTCGTACTTCGGCAAAATGTCCTTTCCACCATTCACGACGAAATGTTTCGGCATCTGGCTCGCGGAAGAAAGACATACTAGTACTAGTAGTAGTAGTAGTAGTAGTACTACTAGTAGTAGTGCGAAGCTCACAAGCACTCAGTCACAGCCCCATTCACACTGCACACTTACATCAGGTGCTCGCTGAATGCAGTGAAAACAAGGAAGAATAAACTGATGCTTGAGCATCATTTACATCGCTAACGACTATCCTACAGCATTGTAGGGCATAGGCATTAGTAGTACTTGTAGACGGTGTCAGGACTTACATGACTTGTGTCAGCTGTGACAAGTCTACCACGGTCTTCTCTCCACTGCTCCATCTCGTTAGGTCCCTGCGCACGCGACTACAAAGAGTTCACCCAGAAATTGAGTACTGGCTCCAGTAATGGCAGTATCTTGTTTTCCAGGCGCTTGTCGTCCCACGCAGTGCAGTCAGTGTTTATTTGGTTTGATTACAGTGGATAATGGAACAGGAAGGTTGTGTGGTGTTTGAGCTAGTCATTTTATAGCGTTTTGTCAAGAGCTCGTGCTAGTTCTGCGGGGAAGTGAAGACTCCTTGCGGCCATCACCGGACCGCGGAGTTGGAGGAGCCACTATCAATTGCCAGCTGCATTGTGCAGCATCGGCAGGTAAAGTTTACAATATTTTGTGTTTCCTGAACATACCACATTATGTACAGTGTATCCGGGAATACGTGCGCTGTTACCGCACTAGATAGAAAAGTGGGTCTACCTGGTCTACCCTCTTACTTAGACTAGCTGGCCGGGGGTGAGGATTCAGCATTATCGTTTTATAGATTTTTACTATTTTAACGAGTATTGCTTACGAACATGACGTGCATATTTTTCTGCTGTTCTACTGTCATGGACATGGAAATCCGGTCGCACGTCTAGCGGCCCCAGGGCGCTGGCCATGCAGCCATGGGTAAGCAGTACACACATGCATGACATTATTATGCTGGTCGCATCGGATCAACATGTGCACTGTTCTGTAGGCGCTGAGGGCGCCGGCTCCGGTCAATCGACTGAATTTCCATGTCCGCGACAGTACATCATATACTCGTATATACTAGATACTGTATCCAGATCAGGAACGCTGTTTCCCCATTGCAAGGCAAAGTTTTCCCCTGACCCTTGTACAAGACAACCCATTGTAAAACAGTTTTAATCGAGCCCCTCCTGTACAAGACAACATGAAACATTGATCGAGCTACAGGAGCTGGAAAAAACAAATCCAGACAAATCACATTCAAACGTTCCGCCTAGCTGCTGGCAGGGGAACATTGGACAGTCCGAGCATTTTGGTAGTCCATGGTCATTTGCTTTGTCTTGTAATAACTGGGAATCGAACCTGTGAGACAGCTAAAGGTGATTTTTATAATGAATTTTTCTACAAACGAATTGTCTCTTATCCGGATTTGCATACCGTATTTTCCCCATTAAAGGTACACGTCTCCATTACTAGTACGTCCCCAATTGTAGTACATGTTGGGTGTGGATCGAAAATATAAAAGGACACGTCTCTAATAATAGTACATGCCGGAATGATGTGATGGGCATTAGTGGGGTACAGATACCAGGGTCCACCTTACTTCGTTTTTCTTACCCGTTCATCATATTTGTGTCTTTGTACACTGATTCTTACCATGGTTTGGTGTATTTACAGCCGTACAGCATCATTATCATTAGTTGTTTGCCAGCCAACCCAGGCAATCAATCTTCCCAGAAACAATAAAAGTACACGTCTCCAATACTAGTACAGTCTCCTATAGTAGTACAGGTCTGACCACCTTTGAAAAAATAAAAGTACTGTTTATTTATTGGGGAAAATACGGTATACTACCGTTATACAAATGAGAGTCCTCTGGCTCAGTAGAGTGCTCAAATAGAGCTATCTTACACACATCACAGAGCACCACGCATCATTCGTTGCCTATGGGCATGAAACAATAAGTTACAACGAATGATGTGTGGTGCTCTGTGTCGTGTGTACTGCCATTACACAATGTACACATGGTGTCAGGGAATTTTAGATCTTTGTCTGCTAATGACGGTTGTTTTGTAACCTATGTCGTACTAACAACGTTAAATCTACACTAGTACACTCATGTCTCTCTAACCCGGACCTCAAAGTTACGGGTACCTACACTGTAGGTATAGCAGTCACTCTGTGGGTGGGTTTTAGTGGTAATATTACTACTCATGTTTTTGTGCAAATACTGATGTCATCTGCCAGATCTCTGGCCCTTCCCCATGCAAACGTATGTGATTGAGAGCTAGGGGCCGTCCGTACATACATGAATTTACTTAGAGACGTCTGACAGGCGTTTCTTGTGGGTGGGTTCTCCTGCAAGGCGTTTCTAAAAAAACATTTCTGAGTGCATGCACACCATACCCCGCGTGTACATGTATATGTGCATGATATGGCATTGCTACAGCTAGTAGTACATGTATATGTGCATGATATGGCATTGCTACAGCTAGTAGTACATGTATATGTGCATGATATGGCATTGCTACAGCTAGTAGTACAGGTAGGCGTTGAGACACACTACACTACACTGCACGCGTCAGGGACACATACCTGTTCACTATAAACATGATAACGAGTCAATTTTGAAAGGGTTCAAACAGGGACATGGACAAGGTTTCGCTATAAGTATCACGAAATTCGCTATATGCGAGTTTGTTATAAGTGGAGTCGACTGTACTGTATATGTGTGCATAGTATCAAGGGTATATATCCCCCGTTATGTGTGTGTGTGTGTGTGTGTGTGTGTGTGTGTGTGTGTGTGTGTGTGTGTGTGTGTGTGTGTGTGTGTGTGTGTGTGTGTGTGTGTGTGTGTGTGCACACACACACACACACATCCTGGAGCAGTGGAATGATGCCAGACCCCTGCCCATCAAGGACCGGATTGTGCAACGCCGTTTGGAATGGTTTGGCCACGTTATGCGCATGGATATGGAACGGACACCCCGGGTTGTTCTGTTCGGCTGCCGACCGGAGACCCGACCTGCATGCGGCCCACGAAAGCGCTGGCGAGACGCTCTGGGTCCGGATCTACAGCGATGTGACGTACAGGACTCTTGGCCAGAAGATACCCAGTCACGACCAGGGTGGAGGAACATCTACCGTGAGCTGGAACCAGCTTCGTCACCAGTGCGTAATGTGCAATGTCTTGTCTGCCGACGCGTATTTAGCAGGCCTTCGGACAAGCGCCGTCACAAGTGCTTGGATGAAAGGGCCAAGCCCATAGCAGAGCAGCGCGGTGCAGTGCAATGTCCCCAATGTCAACGGTGGCTACGCAGCCGTGGTGGGCTATCGCGGCATAAATGCACACCCCATGATCCTCAGCCCCGTGAAGACCATCCCCAAGCTATTGCAAGGGACTGTTGCGCAGCTCACTGCCCCACATGTGACCGCTGTTTCGCCAGACCGTCTGACAGATCACGACACAAATGCCACCGTAGTACGCATCGCCCGACTGCAGCAACACGATTGACATTTGAATGGTCCTGCCCCGACTGTGGCCGCCGTTTTCGCCGCGGGAGCGACCTCACCCGACACAGATGCCAGCGGCCTCCCTCCTCCCCGGTTCTCTCTTAAGGAGAGCCACGTGGCCCTTGTGGCAGTGCTGAACAGGAACAGGAACAGGTGTGTGTGTGTGTGTGTGTGTGTGTGTGTGTGTGTGTGTCTGTGTGTGTGTTCTTCTTTTCTAACCACTGCAGATGATTATGCTGAGCTGACTTACTACTATGGTGATAATTATGTACAATAGTCACTCCAAGAATACTCACCGCACCGCGCGCATCATGTTCGTGTGTGATCTATGTGCTGGCAAGGTGAGTGTGGTATGATACACTGCAGTGTGATGTCACCAATATCACTCTCTTTTACGAGAACTTACATGTAGAATCAGCTACACACCTCTGTGTATGTGTGTGTGTGTGTGTGTTTGTGTGTGTGTGTGTGTGTGTGTGTGCGTGTATCTGTGTGTGTGTGTGTGTTTTTGTTCCCTCTGGGGACGGTTTGAATTTTCCGAGCTCCCTCTGTTTGTGAAAGTATGGTATGCTGTGCTTGAGGAAATTCTAGCATGGTCGTTCTTCGGCGCTCCATTATTTGGCACTCCGTTCTTTGGCGCTCCGTTCTTTGGCGCTCCGTTCTTTGGCTCTCCGTTCTTTGGTGCTCCGTTCTTCGGCGCTCCGTTCTTCGGCGCTCCGTTCTTCGGCGCTCCGTTCTCCGGCGCTCCGTTCTTCGGCGCTCCGTTCTTCGGCGCTTCGTTCTTCGGCGCTCCGTTCTTCGGCGCTCCGTTCTTCGGCGCTCCGTTCTTCGGCGCTCCGTTCTTCGGCGCTCCGTTCTTCGGCGCTCCGTTCTTCGGCGCTCCGTTCTTCGGCGCTCTGTTCTTCGGCGCTCCGTTCTTCGGCGCTCCGCTCTTCGGCGCTCCGCTCTTCGGCGCTCCGTTCTTCGGCACTCCGTTCTTTGGCGCTCCGCTCTTCGGCGCTCCGCTCTTTGGCACTCCGTTCTTTGTCCGTTTTTTTTGTGCCTGTCAGTACTGTAGAGTGTAGAGTGGCACTAACTCACTGGTAGCCTGTTCAGTTTATTTGGATGTTGCTCAGTAAGCCCATTGCGCAGTGACATTATTTGCACCATAAGCATCCCCCTGGGCATGGTCGTCTAGCTGGGGTGTTTGAACAGTGCATTGCTGATCCCAGCGTACTCACATGCATTACTCATCATACCTTCCATATTTGGCAATGCACAATGGGCTTATTCACCACTGTGTGCTTGTGGTGTATGCAGTACAGTGGTGGCTAATGAAACTCGTTATCATGAATAAGATAGCGCTGGCCACTGTACCACTATACCATTGTGCACAGCCGTAGCACACTGATAGTCCAACAGTGCACTGCTCCAGGAAATCCCAGCGTGCGTGTCTAGTTTGCGCCCTGCACCAGTGCCCAGCCCAGTGGCAGTGTTCACAGGTCAAGGGCTGTACAGGGCCCGGTGTGTACTGGACTCACACGATCGGATTGCATTGTGCAGCTTTGCACAACGTCTGTAGGCTGTGAACTTGGACGCAGTGCTGCCAGTATTTCATTAAGGGGGGGGGGGATTTCCCCTGGCCAATGCTCTACCTACACAGCTGCAGTACAGTAACCGTGACGCGCTCTCTACGTCTGTTCACGTAGCTGTGTCTATCTTCTGCTTGCAGGGATATCCCGAAGTGGTTGAAGAGTATGCTACTGACTCGAGCACGACAGAGAATCAGCACTGCTTCTATCTGTTCGAGTGGGCCACCTCGAATGTCTGTAACAAGGCTGCCGCCGGTCGACTCATTGTCTGCAAGCCCACAGGCCTTGGAGCAGGCAGCATCTTCTTGATTGTGTAAGTTACAAAGTCAGTGCTCAGCAGCAGCAGCATCTCAAACAATTGTGTTTTTCTTCACCTGAGCCATGGCCGTGCAGGTGTGCTCATAGCAAGCTGCAGCTCGTGTCACGATTAGTGTACAGTGCTGCAGCTCAATGAGTGTCGTGCTGATTCTGTTGTTCTTGCTACTGCTACTGTTGCTGCTGCTGCTGCGGTGGCGGCTGTTATCATTGGCAGTGCTGCTGCTGTTGCAGTTGTTGTTGTCGTTGGTGGTGGTACTGATGCTGGTGTTGTGCGCTGCAACTGTTGTCGCTATTGCGGCTGTTTTTGGTGGTGCTGTTGTGGTTGCTCCGGTTGTTATTGTAACTGCTGCTGGAGTTGCTGCTGCTTCTGCTGTTGCTGTTGTGTTTCCTAAGGCGGGTTGTGCCGGAGTTCTTAGTTGTTACTTTTGGGTGTGTCTGTGTGGGTTTGTGTGTGTGAGGTGGGGGGGGGGGGGGGGTGTGGGGGGGGGGGGGTGTTTGTGTGTGTGCGGGGGAGAGGGGGGGGGTGTTTGTGTGTGTGTGTGTGCGGGGGGGGGGGGGTGTTTGTGTGTGTGTGCGGGGGGGGGGGGGGTGTTTGTGTGTGTGTGTGCGGGGGGGGGGGGGGGTGTTTGTGTGTGTGTGCGGGGTGGAGGGGGGGGGGTGTTTGTGTGTGTGTGCGGGGGGGGGGGGGGGGTGTTTGTGTGTGTACATGATACGTGTATGTAGCTGGGTTCTCACAGACTTGACTGTGACCTGCTCTCGTTCTGCTCTCTGTTCTGCTCACTGCTCTGCTCTCTGTATCCAGGCTGCTGAGCGTGGGTGTTGCCTACGTTATCCTCGGTTTTATCTTCAACCGCTTTGTTCGTGGAGCTAAGGGCAATGAGCAGTTTCCTAACTACTCGTTCTGGATCACGTGTGGAGACCGCATATCTGTAAGTAAATCAATGCATTGGTTGCCTGCTGCTGCTGCTGCTGCTGCGATCCTTATTAATTAATGTTGTGCTTTAGTCCTGGTTGCTTCTCGTACGAATACAGCTGTAGACTGGCAGAGATTGTCAACATAGCGCTGCTGTTGCTGCTGCTGTTGCTGCTGCTACTGTTGCTGCTGCTGTTGCTGCTGCTATTGCTGCTGCTACTGCTGCTGCTGCTTCTACTGCTGCTGCTATTGCTGCTATTGCTGCTGCTACTGGTGTTGCTGCTATTGCTGCTGCTGCTGCTGCTGCTGCAGGCCAGGCTAAAATTAGTGGCGGTCAATTCATCAGCCTTGCAAGCTGTTGAATGGTGTAACCCGAACACAAGTTGCTATGACTAACATAGTGTGTTCGCTATCATCGCGTCAGCAATGGGCATATGGAGGGAAGGTTGATGCCGGGGGGATTACAACGTGCATGTACATATATGCTGGAGTAGACTGGCGACGGGAGACACACACTGTATTGGCACAGCCCATTCCTTATGCTGCACCATTTTTGCTGAGCGGTCTTTGACCTCCTTCCTGTTGGTCCGTTTGCTTCGCTTTTGCTGATTCAGGACGGCTGCGATGTCTTGTGTCGGAGTAAGCCACCTTCCATTCAAATGAAATATATTCCATCGGTGAGTCCTGTCATCTTGCTGTGCTGCTCTTCTCTCGTCCTTTTCTGTTGCTAGTCTTAGCAAGAATACATGCATGTATGAACAGTACACAAAACCAAGAGTGTGCATCTCTGATGGGTTGCTGTCACGGCCAACTTCCAAGATTTCATCATTTTAGTCATGTAGTGCGTACAAGCAGGATTCAAGCAGGTTTCTTTCAGCACAACTGCAGCTCAGTTGTACGCACTACGCCCGCCTCAAATCTGCACCGAATATGATGTAATCGCGGAAGTTCGCCGTGACAGACACCCGTGCAGAGCAAGTCACAAGCTGCACACTCTGAGTTTCCTGTACACTTGATAAAAGCTGCCAAGGCTGCGCACTTCTGCATACAAGGGTCTTTCACCGTTGGCCGATCCCCATAGCAAACCCATACGGCGTTGCACGCTCTCTGGCACTTCTATACTCTCGGTGATTTCGTAACTCAATGGGTACATAACTTTCAAGAGTGTGCAGCTACACATAAACTTCTGCCAAAATATGAGTTCCGGAATTGCGTCATTTTCGCTATATAATCCGCTTGACTTTACACAAAGCTGCTTTGTGTACTGCCCACCTGACATCTTGTACTTCCTCGGCAAACCAAAACTTCGTGACTTTTCTATTCACATATTCTAAGGGGTTACTGTGCTCAAGAAATGTTGTTCAGTGGACCAAAACACATTTCAACAAGGGTGCAAAAGAAATTAGCGTCATTTGAGTGTCACTCTGGGCCACAGTCGCTTTATTCGCTTCCATGTAATTGGGCTTATTGCCCGTTTGGTATTGCGAATTCAAATAAAAAGAACAACAACAACAACAACAGTCACTCGACTCCACTTATAACGAACTCTCACATAGCGAATTTCGTGACATAGCGAACCCTTGTCCATGTCGCTGTTTGAGCCCATACAAAATTGACCCTTTACAGCCCGCCGTTAACACGCATGCACTCGCTATTGCAGACCAGTGGAGAGCACACATCATATGGAGGATTCATGGAGTGCTGGGCAACCGAATCTGGCATGTGATAATCATGTAGGATAGTCCACGCACGAGGTGCAGCCCATGAAATGGGCACCCATGAACTGGGCGGAGTGTGGACGGCCTGTATGATAGTGTGTATGTATGTCCACGCACAAAGTGCAGCCCATGAGATGGGCGCCCATGAAATGGACGGAGTGTGGACGGCCCACGCACACGAGGTGCAGCCCATGAATGGGCACCCATGAACTGGGCGGAGTGTGGACGGCCTGTATGATAGTGTGTATGTATGTCCACGCACAAAGTGCAGCCCATGAGATGGGCGCCCATGAAATGGACGGAGTGTGGACGGCCCACGCACGAAGTGCAATGCCCGTTAGGAGGCAGGAGTGTGGGAGTATGAGTGTGATGGCCGAAGGCCGTGATAATTGCCAGATGAGAGGAGATAGCTGGCCCAGCACTCCTATTTATTTTCGTCTTGTATGAATTATGATACCTGTGTTGAATCAAGGATATCAATATTATTCATAGATGGGAAGAGGTGGGTGGGTGAGAAAGGAACAAACCGGTGTTCTTCTCACTACCCAAGCAAAGCAAATATGAAGTAGCAATACGGCCAGCGCGAAGTATGGTGTATGCGTTACGGGTTCAAGCTCCGATGTGTGCTGCAGCCGCATATGGCTGGTTGGCTGGCGAGTTCAGGTGAGTTCCGGCGTACGCATGTTACATGCCACCACAGCGTGCATGTACGTGTTACTTGACATGCATCAATGAATAGCGTGGGATCTGCGGGCTCTTTGGAAGCCGCTGGAGCGCGTGTGAAGTGGTGGCTTGTGCAATGTGTTAACCTACATTACCGCAAGCTCTAATGTGCTATTAACACGCATGCACTCGCTATTGCAGACCAGTGGAGAGCACACATCATATGGAGGATTCATGGAGTGCTGGGCAACCGAATCTGGCATGTGATAATCATGTAGGATAGTCCACGCACGAGGTGCAGCCCATGAAATGGGCACCCATGAACTGGGCGGAGTGTGGACGGCCTGTATGATAGTGTGTATGTATGTCCACGCACAAAGTGCAGCCCATGAGATGGGCGCCCATGAAATGGACGGAGTGTGGACGGCCCACGCACACGAGGTGCAGCCCATGAATGGGCACCCATGAACTGGGCGGAGTGTGGACGGCCTGTATGATAGTGTGTATGTATGTCCACGCACAAAGTGCAGCCCATGAGATGGGCGCCCATGAAATGGACGGAGTGTGGACGGCCCACGCACGAAGTGCAATGCCCGTTAGGAGGCAGGAGTGTGGGAGTATGAGTGTGATGGCCGAAGGCCGTGATAATTGCCAGATGAGAGGAGATAGCTGGCCCATGGTTGCCCAGCCTCCATGCTAAGTTGTGACACATTGCAATGCACGTGAATGACACCGTTGTTGCTATCAGCGCAGTTTGTCAGCACAATCCTAGCAGAGCAAGTTGCTGTGCTGTTCCAAACGGTCAGCCGTGTGGGTACGTGCATGGGTGCGAGTTGCGTGCCCGCGTGGCGGGTTCTTACATACCTCCATGCGTTGTGTGATGCGCTTGTACCTCTGATAGCTTTTGGGTCAACTGCGCCATGTCTGTGTCGGTTGTCCTGATGTAGCGCAAGACGCTGTCGCTTCTCCATCGGCCCATTGCCCTGATTAGCCAGTCCGGGGTACCCGCCATGGCTGCAGTTGTGGCGGCACCGATGCGGAACGAATGACCAGCGTAATCGCGTGAATTGGGTGTTCCCGTGAGTGGGAGAAGCTGTCAGAGCTTTTCTGTCAGTGCCTGCCTGGTCAGCGGTCTCCCAGGGCGGTAGCGGAAGAGTGCGTCAGTGGCGTCAGACGGACAGACTGTAAAATATGCCAGGAGGGCGGCAACCGGGCAAGGTTGTGAAGTGGTACTACCGATTATCTGCATGGCCCTGACGAAGTTGGTCCGTCTTCGATTGCTTGATGTGGAAGCGGATATATGTGCGTCCTTAAGTGACATCCAGAGTCACATCCTGGCGCGTGGCATGAGTGGCAGGGTCAAACCCGGCTGGAGGCGCAGTGAATTCAGCGCATCGAAGAGATCTGAAGAAGGCGAGCACCATTGCCGCCTTGAGCATGCCCTTGTCCTGCTGGTGACGCCGTTGGTCCAGGCTGAGTTGGTTGAGGAGCTTCCGCAGCAAATCAATGGTGATTGGGAGGCGAGTGCGCTGGATTGCCGGGTCAGTCGCCGTCCTCTTGATGCCTCGCATAACACGTGGCGGCAGCAATGCATTCATCGTTGGATCTCGGAATCCGGCTTCGAGATGCATGTTGCGTACTGCGGCCATGTAGACATGAATTGTCTGTGGTTGAACCGATTGTGTGAGGTGTGCTGCGAAGCAGCTGGGCATCGTGTCTGTAGCCGGCATGGGCGTCCATCTCTGCAACGCACAGAATTGCGTAAATTTCCTTTCGCCAGTGGCGTACGTGCGCCGTGTTGTCGGGGCGATTGCCATGGCTGCCAGGTCGGCGACCTCCTGCATCAGTCCAGGAGAGGGAGGCGGATTGCAGTGTCCGGGGCTTGCTGTGCCGATGGTGCCAGCTGCTGGAATGCCTGTCAGAGTGATACAGAAATAGGGCTTGGCGCGGCTAAACCTCTTGTTGATATCCCATAAGCGCCGCGTAAATGTTCTGCCTGGTACGACGACGCTCGACGCAAAGGAGAGTTTCCCCAGGAAGTGATCGAGTTTGCGTTGCGTGGTCTGGGTGCAGCGTGACAGCTCGCTGAGGAGCTCGCGGAGGTCCGTCGGTTTGTCGTCTGGGAGACGGGCTTCCATGCGCACCGTGTCCAGCACAATTCCGAGGAGGGCAGTAATGTGTGAAAGCGGACAGTGTTCAGGGGAGTGGAAGTCGGCTTACTTTTTCTCAGTGGGCTTCGAAGTCTTCTCGTGGCTATCTGCAGGGCGCTGCCACCTGAAGCGGGTGGTGCTGGTGCAGGATGTGGCGGCATGTCCTTTGTCTTCACATGAGCTGCAGGCGTAAAGACGGTCGCAGGGTGTGCGGGAACAGGGCCTGCCGCGGTTGAAGTTAAAACAGACTTGGCGGGTGCTGCCCGCCACTGATGGAAAGGGCTGCGCGTGTTGAGCTGCGGCATGTGGGCAGGCAGCGGTCGCGGCTGTTTTGGAGCGTGCATTTGGTGCATGACAGACGGGGAGAGCGGAGTAGGCGAATACTCCACAGCGTCTGATTGATCACGTCCCAGCGCAGTGCCATGCTGGCGGTGTGTTGGCGAAATGCTCGATCATAGTTCAGCACAGGAGACGTCTGCATGACAGACGGGGAGAGCGGAGTAGGCGAATACTCCACAGCGTCTGATTGATCACGTCGCAGCGCAGTGCCATGCTGGCAGTGTGTTGGCGAAATGCTCGATCATAGTTCCGCACAGCAGACGTCTGCATGACAGACGGGGAGAGCGGAGTAGGCGAATACTCCACAGCGTCTGATTGATCACGTCGCAGCGCAGTGCCATGCTGGCGGGGTGTTGGCGAAATGCTCGATCATAGTTCAGCACAGCAGACGTCGTGAACTGTTGGTTCGCAGTACAAAGTATGTGCTGGTAGCAGACGAGCTCATGAGCTCGGTCAGGACGAGCAAGAACGACGATGCCCATGTAGATCGTCCAGGCCTCCAGCCAAGCCGAGAAGTCGTTGATCGCGCGCGTGTGCTTTGCGCTGAGGTTGAGCGAGAGCTGAGCCATGTCGCCGCCAGCTGTAACCAGTTGTATTGGCTCCTGTCCCTGGGAGCTGAAATTTTCCAGCAAGAGTTCCTCAAGTTCCACAAACTCTCCGCGCTGGATTTTTTCAATCGCGCGACGTGGCGGTGTGGGTAGAACCGAGGGCTTGGAGAGAACTGGAGGTCCTGGCAAAGTCGGGGTTCCGATAGAACTGGAAGTTCCGGGCAGGATAGGTCCGGAGCTTGACGCTCGGAGCGTGGGAGCGATCTTTCGGGTGCGGAGCACGCGCGTGGGAGAGATCGGCTTCCAGATCAGACTCAGCACTGTCTGTTCTCCAGGCGTTCCACACGTTCGAGAAGAGAGTGGAGGGCGTTCATCTTCATAACGGCTGAGGAAATGATGTCCGGGGAGAGCAATGAGGGCTCGTCCTGCATAGACGCGTCGGTGCCTGGAGCGGGGTCAGAAGTCTGAACTAGCTGCTGACGGTGTGTCGGAGGCATCAGGCGCGAAGGCGCGCATGCCGTCAGTCCGCGCGTATGGCGAGGTCGAAGCCCTACCCGAGCGGCGACGGGTAACCTCGACGGCATACCCGCGGCCGCGTCCACGTCTGCTTCCTCGTACAGAGCCTCGTGGCATGGTGAAAGAGAGAGAAAGGGAGTGAGAAAGGAGAAAGGAACAAACCGGTGTTCTTCTCACTACCCAAGCAAAGCAAATATGAAGTAGCAATACGGCCAGCGCGAAGTATGGTGTATGCGTTACGGGTTCAAGCTCCGATGTGTGCTGCAGCCGCATATGGCTGGTTGGCTGGCGAGTTCAGGTGAGTTCCGGCGTACGCATGTTACATGCCACCACAGCGTGCATGTACGTGTTACTTGACATGCATCAATGAATAGCGTGGGATCTGCGGGCTCTTTGGAAGCCGCTGGAGCGCGTGTGAAGTGGTGGCTTGTGCAATGTGTTAACCTACATTACCGCAAGCTCTAATGTGCTATTTTCGTTGACAACAAACCGAATCTTGTAAGTTGTAGTGCCGCATGAAAATCAAGTGTACTCATACTGGCATTAGTCGCATATCAGTCAATCCGATTCATGACCTGCTGCTTTTACAGAGTGACTGCATCTCTGTTATAACAAACTTTGGCTATAAAGAACTAAGTCTCCTGTGCAAAGGTGTGCATTATATCAGGAGTCAGCTGTAATTTTTAAAATTCTGAAAATGAGTCGTGCCTGCAATGCAACCCGTAGTTGTGACTATTATAATGTTTGTTTTCACAGTGGCCATTGGACAATAACAGAGGTTGTTGTAGTCGTTGCATCATCATCGTCGTTGTTGTTGTTATTCAAATCTTTATTCTCACGATAGCCAGTGGCCAATAAGAGGTATTGTTGTTGTTGTTGTTGTTGTTGTTGTTGTTGTTGTTGTTGTTGTTGTTGTTGTTGTTGTTGTTGTTGTTGTTGTTGTTGTTGTTGTAGTTGTTGTTGTTGTTGTTGTTGTTGTTGTTGTTGTTGTTGTTGTTGTTGCTGTTGTTGTTGTTGTTGTTGTTGTTGTTGTTGTTGTTGTTGTTGTTGTTGTTGTTGTTGTTGTTGTTGTTGTTGTTGTTGTTGTTGTTGTTGTTGTTGTTGTTGTTGTTGTTGTTGTTGTTGATGTTGTTGTTGTTGTTGTTGTTGTTGTTGTTGTTGTTGTTGTTGTTGATGTTGTTGTTGTTGGTTTTGCTGCTACCCCTGGCCTTTACGGTGCTGCTGCTGCTGCTGCTGCTGATGCTAGTGGCGGTGGTTGTGGCAGTGAGGGTATTTCAAATCTTTATTTTCATGATGGTTGTTGGTGGTGCTGGTGGTGTTGTTGTTTACATTTTGTTAATCTTGTTGTCGTCGTCGTCATTGTCTTCATCGTCGTTAATTTTACTCTAACGATAACAATTATTGATTAAAGTGCCTAAATCGTGTGTACACGTACGTGTGTGTGTGTGTGTGTGTGTGTGTGTGTGTGTGTGTGTGCGTGCGTGTGTGTGTGTGTTTTTATTGCTTTATCTGTGCGTTTTCCAGGTTGGTCGTGGTGACCATCAACTGGACCTATCAGAAGATGAGCTGGCGTAGTGCAAGCAGCTGTATGATGATTCCCGTCTGTGTGCGTGTGTGCGTGTGTATGTGTGTATGTGCACGCTTGCCACCACTACCACCATTATCGGCAACATATCACCACTATCGCTTCTGCTGTTACAACCTTGCTGCATCGCCTGTGTTTCGCCCAGCGCCACATTGCCTGCTAGCTTAGTGGCTATGCTATGTTGGTGTTTGTTGTGGTCTTGTGCAAGTGCTTCACCGCCACCGCCACCACCACCATGGCTGTGTGTGTGTGCGTGTGTGCGTGTGTGTGTGTGTGTGTGTGCGTGCGTGGGTGTGTGTGTGTGTGTGTGTGTGTGTGTGTGTGTGTGTGTGTGTGTGTGTGTGTGTGTGTGTGTATATCCGCCATGCAATAGCTCACCATCTGCCGAGTGGTGACGTTGCACCGCCTAGCAGCAGGATCAGCAGCAGCACCACTGGGCCAGGTGATGGTGAACACCAGCTCAATGCTGAGCTTTCAGCGCTTGCCCCCCCCCCCCCCCCACTACTACCGGTATCCACGCTAGTACTGCTGCTGCTGCCTTTGGTTTCAATGGTTACTGTCGCCATTGCTGCTGCTTCTGTTGCCGTTGAAGTTGTGAACGATGTGAGCTTCATCTTTTCTTCCTTTTTTTCTTTTTAAATCATGCACTATTTATAAAAATGTGTTGAGTCAGTAATGGTCACGCATACACCGTACAATTATAATAATTCATCCGTTTCCAAGAAGTATACAATACAATTACGCCGGGCAAGACTTTGTCCCCCTTTCAAGTATCCTGCACGCCTGCTCCATCTCCCGCCGTTGATTGGTTGCCCGCTCCTGTGAAGGTCTCTGTCATAGTCTACACCCTGTGTAGTATGAAGGGAGACACATTACTAGATGTCTGCTACTAGTCACTGCTAGCCACTGCTAGTGCTAGTCTGCTCACACTGCATCCCGGTTGGGAGCAGGAGCAGGTGCAGCGTGTGAATGTATGTGACTTTTTTAAGTTTGCTTGACTTTACTTGGCGCATTCGAACAGAATTGCAGCACCCAGGCCTGCAGTCTGCTCGGATCTTTTCCTCGTCTTTCCCGCTGCTTCTCTCGTTTATTGGCCAATTTTGTTTAGGATACAATGGCATCACCCTGATCCTCCCCCTGTCCGCTGGGTTGTGCCACGGCACATTGCTGTACTGGTACATTGCTGTACTGGCGCATTGCTGTACTGGCACATTGCTGTACTGGTACATTGCTGTACTGGTACATTGCTGTACTGGTACATTGCTGTACTGGTACATTGCTGTACTGGCACATTGCTGTACTGGCACATTGCTGTACTGGTACATTGCTGTACTGGCACATTGCTGTACTGGCACATTGCTGTACTGGTACATTGCTGTACTGGCACATTGCTGTACTGGCGGGTACATTGCTGTACTGGTACATTGTTGTACTGGTACATTGCTGTACTGATACATTGCTGTACTGGTACATTGCTGTACTGGTACATTGCTGTACTGGTACATTGCTGTACTGGTACATTGCTGTACTGGTACAATGCTGTACTGGCACATTGCTGTACTGGTACATTGCTGTACTGGCACATTGCTGTACTGGTACATTGCTGTTCTGGCGGGTACATTGCTGTACTGGTACATTGCTGTACTGGTACATTGCTGTACCGGTACATTGCTGTACTGGTACATTGCTGTACTGGTACAATGCTGTACTGGTACATTGCCGCACTGGTACATTGCTGTACATGCACTGTTACATTGCTGTACTGGTTCGTTCTCTTCTTTTTCTCCTTTCTCTGACACCAGGCCATGGAGGCATCATGTCGCCACTGTCACTGGTTTTCAGATACAATGTTCTCTTGGTAGTATCCTATACTCGGTACCCAGTACCCGGTACATACAGGCAGCCATGGCTCTTTGTCTTTTCCTTTGTTTTTGTTAGTTTTGAAGTGAATACTTTAGATTATTAATTTTGTACTGCTATTGAAGTGCAATAGTTTCCAGTGAATAGTTACCATGGCAACAGTGGCGTGAACTAAAGCGGGATTCACAGAAGCTTTTTTGCGATGCGACACGCGATGCGACAGGCGCGAAACCGGGAAAACCCCAAATCGCAGCCATGTCGCACCCCACGCAACTGACGCAACTGGGCCATCGCACGCGCATGCCATCGCAGAAGTTGAGCTTGGCTCAACTTTTGCGATGCGATGCGATGCGACAAGCGATTTGGTGTACGGATTTTGACCTTTTCTACAGCAAAGTTGTACAACGGTGCAAGAGTTGCCTTTAAATTTTTACAAGTTGTGTCAAACCGCGCGAATATCATGGTGACGTACCCAAATCAGCAAAACTTTGTCGCATCGCTGACTTCTTCTGTGAATGGTAATTGGTATTTCGCGAGTTCGCATCGCACGCATCCATCGCAGATCACGTCGCGCGATCGCATGGCGTGTCGCATCGCAAAAAAGCTTCTGTGAATCCCGCTTTACTGTTGTCTACGCTACGCTGTAGTGACCTCATTGATGTCGGTTTGCTGTGCAACGCAGCAGGTGTACCGTGTAGAGTCTACGAGTCGTACTCGTACAGACTCGAGGTGAAGCCAACGAGGTGAAGCCAACGTCTTTTATGAGTTTTATTATTGCACAGAGGCAGTATGCTTAGGTTCTGCGAAAGTGCTCAATACCTGATTCAGGCAGAGCGGCGTACACAAAGGCACACAATGAAAACCTTTGGCAAATTCCGTTGTTGTCTGATGATTGGTTCAGCCATGAAACTCTGAGTCACAACGGAATTTGCCCAATGTTTTCATTGTGTGCCTTTGAGTTTTATTATTATACATTTTTTAAATTGTGTATTAAGGGGGTTCGGGACAGTTAGGCCCAAAAAATTTATTTCAACATCAGCAAAATCTGACATCAGGTTTGAATAGGTACAGCCTTATATTTTCGCTTAGTAACATCAGTTTTTCAATTGCCTGAATAGGTCTTGCCAAAAACACAATTTTTCCTTGATAACACAAAATGTCGCAAAATCCGAAAATTGATGAGAAATCGTCCATAACACTAGTTAGGACAGAAAATATGACATAAAATTATACAGACTGTTCGAGGTATTGACTAAGATGATATCAACACCGAAATGTACACTTTGGTTGACGATGGGATCCAGGTCGTCATTTCCTTGAGAAGAACAAAAAGACGCAAAAAATGAAACTTTGAATATTTTTTGCAGCTTATTTTTGAGTTTGCCCCATATGTGGATACTTCACATACATTCTATAAGTGGGTTGGAACAGGTTTACCGTGGCGAAAATAGGGGTCACCGTGCATATTCTGGAGAAAAATCCAAAAAACTGTCAAAATTTGCCTAAAATTGGTAAATTCACGTATCTATATTGCTTGTACTTCGCTGCTGCTGCTTTGGTCATAACTTATTGGATTTTTGGCTGTTAGGTGTTGCATAAACTCGCTAGAACCCTCGACGTTCAGAACAACACAAGGATGGAATAGCTGAACTAGTAAATTTGCCGGAAAACCCTGGGTGCACGCATTATCGATAGGTACTTTTCTCCATGATTACTCTCCTGTTGGTACTTGGTTTTGATACATGTACATGTGTGGGAATCTTCGGAAAGCATGCAGATTCCTCACATCCAACACCACACGACACAGCAAGCCAGACGCACCAGAATTACATGGATAAACTGAAGTTCAGAGAGAAAAAACGACAACCGTCTTCTAACTACCAAGGGAAGAGAAGCACTTCTTGTCGAAGGGAGAATACATAAAAGGGAGAAGAAAGCCAAAAATGGGTACACGGCATAGGAAAGTACAACATTATCGTACCACGCAATACGGTGCGTGAGAACACCGCGCGGGTACGCGGGATCGGCAGAAACTAGAGTAGAGTGATTATGGATATACGGGACCAAAAAGTAAGGAAGGGTCAAGAGTACAAGTTGCGATTTAGACAAATTTGACGGAAATTTCCCGGGCATGGGGTTTGGAGTGGATACACTACACATGTAGCTGTGATAGCGCTTAGCACAGCCCCATATCAAACTACAATGAAAGCTGACATGTTGGAACGAATCAGACAACATTGAGTCCTCTTGTTCTTCAACTATGCGAGCTAGACCGTGTTCCCACACTGGCAAAAATGATGGTATTTTACGGTGCGCACAAACAAGTGAAGCGCTGTGCCACAGGGCGTTACTTACAGTTGGGTTGCTGCTGGTTCTTCGCTAGGTGTTCAGCCACCGCTAATATAATCTTCCCTGAGGCTGTCACCCGCTTCTTACCTCCGACTTGCTCCTTCATCAGTCTGGAAATGGCTGGCTCGCCACTTCGTTTCTAGGACAAGACAAAGTGCTTCATCACCAACCCACTAGCAGCTGCCCGCACTGCAACTGATTTAGAGCAGCACGTTGCTTGGACCAACGGTTGAAGGGCGGCCAGCCGCTTTTGCTGATGTTCTGCAAACTCCATCGCCGAACATGCTGATGCAAAAGTGACAGAGTGCTACAGGATGCTGGCATCAGGGCGAGCTTCGACTAGGGCCGCAATATCCGCAACAGCATCATGAGCAGCGAACTCATTCCCAACGATGAACTATAAATCAATCTGAGGCTGTAGCTTGGGAGCTCCGGTATCGCGGTTTAGGGATCAGAGTGTTCACCCAGCACAAAAATGCACACCATCGACACACACATGCGTGCACACATACACGGACACACAGACACACAGACACACACATACACATGTAACACAAAAAATTATAGAACCGCAATAATGGGATAAAAGTACCGGCAATCAGAATTGAAAACACTCATCATTGAACGCACTACAAAACGCAGGCCCACGCCAATACACACACACACACACGCATGCTTTCACACGCAATAGAACACACACGCGCGCGTGCGCGTACACACACATACATTCACGCACGTGTACGTACCCACCCACATGCATGTGCACACTCATGTGCATGAGTGGAGATGCCCACATACACAATCATGTCACACCAACATGCCCTTGGGGCGGTCATGCACGTGTGTATAGTATATGTGCGAGGGCACGTCCACATGAGCGCATATGCATGTGCATGTTCATACATGCGTATGGTGCACACATGCACAAACATGCAGGTCTATGCAAACACACACACGCTCGCGTGCGCCGCGCATACAGTGTGCTCATACATTTCCATAGCCATAGGGTGGCAATGACTCGCAAATATCATGAATAAATCTGATGAGATTGAAAAACACACTTACCCAAAGCAGCTTTGGTGTTGCTTGTGGAAGCACGGGGGCCAGGGTGCTGAGCAGTTACAGGGCTATCTGTATCTATAAAATTCTCCATCCCACACTGCTGACACGGAATGACAAGTACGCTGCCCAGGCCGTACCTCTTCTCTTCAACGCAATCGATGAGCGCCAGAGGTTTGCCACATCCAGGATTCTGGCAAGCAGACAATCCCACAGCCAGATACCTGAGATGAACGATTCGTCGACCGTGAAGAGGGGCACTGAACGACCTCTTCGCGGGAGTCGAATCCAGTGGCGTTGGTGGTGGAGATCGCCCTTTCCGTTTTTCAGGAACTCGATCGATCGTTCGAGCTTGCGAAGCGTCCCCTTCTCGGCTTCTTGAATCGTCCAGTACGCAGAATGCGAGGCCGCGTCGTGGGTGACAGATTACTCTCCCGCGTCTTCATCTCCACGACACGTCGGCAGGAGAACCAAGCTATCCAAAAACCGCCGATGTCAAAACAAATCCGCAAGTCCACTAGCGGCTGTGCTTCTTCCTCAAATCTTGTCTCGACTCGAGCACGCGCTGCGAAGTGATGGTCAAACTGCTTGCATGATCGCGTCCCATTTTTCCACTCCGAAAGGCATTATTTTTCAGAAAAAAATTCGGAAATCCAACATGGCGCTAACCGTCGCGAACCTCCTTAAAGGGGAAGTTAAGGCAAAAATTAAAATTTCACCAGTTGTAGTCTTCGGGGTGCTGAGTCGAATGGTCTTGGTCCGAGGAAGCTGAGACGCTCCCTTCCTACTTGAATCCCAATCGAACTCGCGCACTTCCACCGAAACTGGGTGACTGCGCCCTACTAGATGGGGATTTGTATGCAAATTGTCACAAAAAGCGCCATTTCGTTCTTATAAAAGCACGGATGACCGCGATTGGCCCATATGTTGTAGTCTTTTGGACGCTGAGTCGACTGGTTTTGGTCCGAAAAGGCTGCGATGCAGCGTTCCTCCTTTATTCCCAATCGAACATGGTTGAAGAAGCGGTCACGTGGTCCTGGGTGCCCAAATCACCTGGTCACCAAGCCAGCAGGTGACAACTTTCACACCAAGGTTCAACTCGAGTTCAACTCGAGTGACAGGACTGCACCCAAAAAAGGTCAAACTGGCTAGTAAGTTGTACCCTGCAGGCACGGTGACCAGGTGACTGGTGTACGCAGGAGCACGTGACCGGTTCTTCAACCATGTTCGATTGGGAATAAAGGAGGAACGCTGTATCGCAGCCTTTTCGGACCAAAACCAGTCGACTCAGCGTCCAAAAGACTACAACATATGGGCCAATCGCGGTCATCCGTGCTTTTATAAGAACGAAATGGCGCTTTAAGTGACATTTTGCATACAAATCCCCATCTAGTAGGGCGCAGTCACCCAGTTTCGGTGGAAGTGCGCGAGTTCGATTGGGATTCAAGTAGGAAGGGAGCGTCTCAGCTTCCTCGGACCACGACCATTCGACTCAGCACCCCGAAAACTACAACTGGTGAAATTTTAATTTTTGCCTTAACTTCCCCTTTAAAACAGCAAGTACACCATAGCTACAATGTAAGTGGTTAGTAACAGGGAGTCGGTATTTTATGACTCCTGGTTAGTAGTAACAAGAGTGGGCTATGTACTCTTGGTAGTATCTTAGACTAACTTAGAGCATCGCTGACCTCAAGCGAAGGTCCCTGGTTCGAGTGCTGGTGATGTCAGTCAGTTTCAGAATTTTCCATTCTCTCAACCTATGATTTTTTTAGATTTATCACGACTAGCCAACAGTGGCGTAGCCAGGGGGGGGGGGGGGGTGCTTTGCACCCCCCCCAAGCACCCCCCTCAAAAATTCCAGGTACCATTTTCGTACTGCTGTGGATCTACGCCCGCCCGCGATCGAGACTCAACGTCGACAAGATCGACGCCACACGACGCTGCGCTGCACGACGGGGCCCGGCCAACTGTATTACTAGTATTACTAGTTTGGCAATACATTCACCAGCTGCATTCGTCGTGGATGGCGGCGAGCAAACTCATCGATGACCGCACCCACGTCAACTGGAATGTCATGATGAACCTGCAGCAAGGTGAGGCCAGTCAGCCGGGAGTTCTTCATCACTGATCTCTGCCGGTCCTTGACCAGTTTCAGGGCGCTGACGGACCGTTCGGACGAGCAAGACGTCACTGGCAAGGTTGCAAGAAGTAATACAGATTCAACAATTGTCTGTATTATATTCTGGGTCTAACCACACCCTGTTAATCTCTTACCATCCAACTTCTGTAGCAAAGTACTGTGCGTTTCATACGATTATCTGACTTTTTATTGAATCATTGGTGGACTGGAAAATAATGAAATAGATGCAAAAATGAAGGATTTGGCACTCAATATCGAAAAAATTTCCGGCGGAGGGCCCCCGGACCCACCCCCATTTTTCGCGCCCTTCCGGCGCAGGCCCACACTTCCAGTGAGCACCCCCCTCAGCCACAATCCTGGCTACGGCATGTGAACAAAGGAGTCCAATTTAATAATTATAAGCCTGCAGGAATATTTGACCGGGGGTCATCGTCCAGTAACAATCGACATTCTTTGTTCCCGTGGGGCTGTAGCTTGTGCTCGTTTTCGTTGCGCTTACCTTCTCCTCTTTGGTCTCTTCTTAACCTTGAACCTTCCGAGTTGGAAGGCTGTTGGTTAGCGCTACGGAGATGTGCTGAAGCTACGTGTTAGGCCTTGGCGGATAATGCTCGAAAAGGTGGCAGATTCTGCTTTTTTTGCACCGAAATTGGCAGAACCATACAAACCTTATGGCGGGCAATTCCTCGAATTCTGCTCCATTTCTTTATCCACATACCAAACATGCATGAAACTTACCAGAAAAAGTACCGAATTCTGCCAATTTTTCTGCCGGCATTATCCGCCAAGCCCTACTACGTGTCAGGTCGTCCAACGTCCCAGTACTCTGTCAGTGTTGTGCCTAGTTGTTGCACTTTCTGACTGTGTATATGCGAGTTTCAAACTCTATGTGAGTCAATAGTATAGTACAGGAGTAGTATTAGTTACCGTACTGGCAATATATGTTGCCGCGTAACGCGTAACGCAGGAGGGTGCGGCGTAACGCGCGACCAGGCTAGTGCGACAAATTTTCGTTGAGTTCGTAACGCGCGTCCGGCGGGTGCGGCGATCTTTTCATTGCAGTTTGCACTGCAAAAAAAGGCTGAAAACTGTGAAAGCACGTGTACCGCGTGGTGAAAAGTAGTTTTTGGAGGAAGCGCTCTTCCCCTATGTCACTTTCCTTTTGATGATCTTTTTGTGAACAGATCACTCTGATAGTTAAAATATACAGTCTTCTATTGATATCGTTGTCGCCCTTTGCCGTCGGGTTTGTAACAGTTGGATAGCAACTGAATTTCTGTGCATTCAATGTGGATGAAAAAAAAATGATGCGGCGAAAGCAAAAAAATGATGCGGCAATAGCAAAAAAGTGATGCGGCAATAGCAAAAAAAGGACTGCGGCAATATAGAAACCTGTGTAACGGCTCCTGTGCGACTTTGCATGTAACGCCCTGCGTGCGGCAAACATGTGCCAATGTAACGCTTCATGGCCTCACTGCGGCAACATATATTGCCAGTACGGTAGTATCCCTCTCTAAGTTTCCAATGATTGTTGCTACATGACTCTATAGCGTTACTACAGTACAGTACCTAAGAAGCCAAATATTCCCCGAGTTCATATTTCACTCCTTAGAGCTATATTGACTGCTTTTAGAACACCAATTGGGCCAATCGCGTGAAACCATGAAGTGAGAGTCAAAGCAAAAAGACAAACCAATTTCGGAAATAAATAGAACACTCCCTACTTATACAGTGAAACTTGTCTAACACGACCGCTCGCTCAAGGGAGATTCAAAATGTGGTCTCTGTCACCAGGTGGTCGCCGTATCCAGGGTCAATTGACTGGAAATAGCATCCCTTGGTCCTGATTGCAGTGGTCTTCCAGGACAGGTGGTCGCCTTATCCGAGTGGTCGCCTTTACAGGTTTTACTGTAGTTTGACTCTTTTTAAAGGGGAAGTTAAGGCAAAAATTAAAATTTCACCAGTTGTAGTCTTCGGAGTGCTGAGTCGAATGGTCGTGGTCCGAGGAAGCTGAGACGCTCCCTTCCTACTTGAATCCCAATCGAACTCGCGTACTTCCACCGAAACTGGGTGACTGCGCCCTACTAGATGGGGATTTGTATGCAAAATGTCACTAAAAGCGCCATTTCGTTCTTATAAAAGCATGGATGACCGCGATTGGCCCATATGTTGTAGTCTTTTGGACGCTGAGTCGACTGGTTTTGGTCCGAAAAGGCTGCGATGCGGCGTTCCTCCTTTATTCCCAATCGAACATGGTTGAACAAGCGGTCACGTGCTCCTGCGTACACCAGTCACCTGGTCACCGTGCCTGCAGGGTAAAACTTACTAGCCTGTTTGACCTTTTTTGGGTGCACTCCTGTCACTCGAGTTGAACTCGAGTTGAACCTTGGTGTGAAAGTTGTCGCCTGCTGGCGTGGTGACCAGGTGATTTGGGCACCCAGGAGCACGTGACCACTTGTTCAACCATGTTCGATTGGGAATAAAGGAGGAACGCTGCATCGCAGCCTTTTCGGACCAAAACCAGTCGACTCAGCGTCCAAAAGACTACAACATATGGGCCAATCGCGGTCATCCGTGCTTTTATAAGAACGAAATGGCGCTTTTAGTGACATTTTGCATACAACTCCCCATCTCGTAGGGCGCAGTCACCCAGTTTCGGTGGAAGTGCGCGAGTTCGATTGGGATTCAAGTAGGAAGGGAGCGTCTCAGCTTCCTCGGACCACGACCATTCGACTCAGCACCCCGAAGACTACAACTGGTGAGATTTTAATTTTTGCCTTAACTTCCCCTTAACGATTGAAGTTTACCACATGCTTTGGTTGTTGACTCACACTGGGTCATACTTAGGCATATGCGGATAATGCCGGCAGAAAAATAATTGGCAGAATTCGGTACTTTTTTTGGGTAAGTTTCATGCATGTTTGGTATGTGGATAAAGAAATGGAGCAGAATTCGAGGAATTGCCCGCCATGAGGTTTCTATGGTTCTGCCAATTTCACTGCTTTCCAGCAGAATCTGCCACCTTTTCGAGCATTATCCGCACATTACCCCTAGGACTTATACTCATAATGTATAAACCTCGTTTTCGAGGTCTAAAAATACCAAGAGTACATAAACTCTTGATAATTTATCTAGTGTTGACTGGGTACGAGGTGAATATTGGAAATAAAAACCGAGTATAAGACCGAGGCGAAGCCGATTTTTTTTCCTATACTGACCAAGTACGAAGTCAATATTGGATTTATCACGACTAGCTTTGCCTGTGTTCAATCCCTAAAAAGGAGTTAAATATAAGCGACCCTAAGGAGTGAAATATGGAGGAATATTTGACTGCTTAGGTAAAGCAAAATTCTATGGGAGTCAATACTACGTAAGGGAGTGATAATCACCAAGATCGTGATAGCGACTTCGGCGATGATTAGATAAGAAAGGTGTTTGCTCCCCTCACTGAAGCTCGCGCTTTTCCGCCGACTTGACACTTGACTGAGTCACAAGTAAGTTCACTCACAACTCGACAGCTCAGACTACCACTGAACCAGTAAGACAACTCCCAGCCTAGAATAAAGAGGATCAGAACAACCGGGTCTAACACCATACCGTTCAGATGGTCGTAAAGACCGGGGCTCTACCAACTGCGGATGGTCGTACTCATGGTACTTGAGTAGTAAGGTCACTGTTTCCGAACGCGACTCAAGCTCAACTGATGAGGGGTGAATTCCCAGAAACACTGTGTATTGAGCAGGGAGTGCTGCTTTCTTGCAGGTTTGGCGAGTGGACGGTTCGATGGACTTCTCGTGTGCTCTGGATGGCAGTCGTGAGTCAGTCAAGTAAAACAAGGTCTAATACCAATCATGTCCGCTACAGTAGATCTACATACCCACTGTACGTAGACCATGGTACTTGGTAGACGACCTGATGAGACTTGAAAGTCTAGTGCCAGTACTGCAGTAGTCATGCTAGTGGTAGTATAGCTAGCTAGAGACGTGGAGCCTAGACGTGTGAGACTGTGAGATGATGAGGGATTCCTGGCTGAGACGCAGCGCTAAAATGAGGTGACATGACGCACGGCCTTGGCGACATCAGACTCGGATATCTAGACAACAAGGAGTGCTGTCAAACGCGAAAGAAGGACTGGTCTTGTTGATTCGATGCACCGAATGCAGTATCGATATCCATGACCATGCCTATGACATGTAGTGATGTAGCTATAGACGTGCAGACGGGGTCAGGACTTATTTTTGTGTCAGTCGTGACAAGTCTACAACGGTCGGTCTACCATCCACAGGCACAGCTCCAGCACTGCAGCACTGTCAGCTCGTCAGGCCCCTGCGCACGCGACTACACGTCTACAGAGTACCCCCCCCCCCCCGGCCGCAGAAGAAAAAAGTGAGTCATGCCACCAGTATCTTGTTTTCCAGGCACTTACTGCGCCGTCCCACGCAGTGCAGTCAGTGATTATTTGGTTTGTTTACAGTCGGTAATGGAACAGGAAGGTTGTGTGGTGTTTGAGCTGGTCATTTTGTGTAGCGTTTTGTCACGAGCTCGTGCTAGTTCTGCGGGGAAGTGAAGACTCCTTGCGGCCATCACCGGACCGCGGAGTTGGAGGAGCCACTATCAATTGCCAGCTGCATTGTGCAGCATCGGCAGGTAAAGTTTACAATATTTTGTGTTTCCTGAACATACCACATTATGTACAGTGTATCCGGCAATGCATGCGTTGTTACCGCACTAGGTAGAAATGTGACTGTAGGTCTTACTGGTCGACCCTCTTAGACTAGCCGACAACCTCGGGGGTGAGGATTCAGCATTATCGTTTTATAGATTTTTACTATTTTAACGAGTATTGCTTAGGGGCCATCCGTAAATATCGATAGTTTTTTCAATCCGTGAATTTTACAAAGTAACCAGGACCCACCACCCACCCCCCTACTTTTTACGGAATAAAATATTGATGACACATGTACTGTACCTACATAAATGTAGGTTTTTTTTCCTAACAAAATAAATAAACATGAAGTTGGTTGTTCCAACTAGGAACACACGCTTCTTGCCGAACTTGACACTTGACTGACTCACGACTGCCATCCGGAGCACACGAGGAGCACGTCGCACCTTCCACTCGGCAAACGTGCAAGAAAGCACCACTCCCTGCTCAATACACGGTGTTTCGGGGAATTCACCCCTCATCAGTTGAGCTTGAGTAGGCTGAGGAAGATTGTGCCTGAAAAGCACCACTTATATACTGCTCTCCAGGCCGAACCATCACCAGGGATACAAACTTACAGAGACGCTTTGTTTCCAGCGCGACAAACACCTCGTGAAGCTCCAGGTAACAGCATGAGTCAGAGTCGCTCATGGAGTTGTGATAAACAGACGTTGAGAGCCAGTATAGCTATTCGCAACGCTGTCACCTCCAACAACTAGTCGCACGTCCGCGTGAGGGACAACAATACGAACTTAGAAGTTGCGACTTCGGCGATAATAGTCATGAAGTTGGTTGTTCCAACTAGGAACACACGCTTCTTGCCGAACTTGTGATGGTTCGGCCTGGAGAGCAGTATATAAGTGGTGCTTTTCAGGCACAATCTTCCTCAGCCTACTCAAGCTCAACTGATGAGGGGTGAATTCCCCGAAACACCGTGTATTGAGCAGGGAGTGGTGCTTTCTTGCACGTTTGCCGAGTGGAAGGTGCGACGTGCTCCTCGTGTGCTCCGGATGGCAGTCGTGAGTCAGTCAAGTGTCAAGTTCGGCAAGAAGCGTGTGTTCCTAGTTGGAACAACCAACTTCATGACTATTATCGCCGAAGTCGCAACTTCTAAGTTAAAATAAATAAATAAATAAGAAAAAATAATAATAATATTATAAATATTGACTGGTTTGAGGGAAAGAGACAAACGGGAAAAGTCTGAAGAAAAAATTGACTGTCACCACCAGGACTCGAACCAGGGACCTTCGCTTGTAGCCAGCGATGCTCTAACCACTGAGCTATGGTGTAGTCGTCATCCCAGCAGTCGTCATCCCAGCAGAGGCCGTTCAACATTTTCTTCAGACTTCGTAACTCACACTTCCTATGAATCCACACAGGCGGGTGGGACGCAGCCCTCACTGTAACCCACACACTTCACGTACAAACTAGCACGCGGGGAGCCCCAAGTCATAAAATAATATTATAAATAATAATAATAATAGGTGGAGTCCATACACACGCAGGCATGCGCTCACCGTGTCATTCATAACTAAATACTAGAGTCATCTACGCGTACGCCTACTACGCCTCGATGACGGCGTAGTAGCCATCGTCGTCTTCACCAGGGCTGTCAAGCTCTTTGAAAAACTTATCTTTTTTGGCAGCTGTACCAAACAAAGTAGTCTGCCGTGCCATTTTCGTTAGGCAGCTGTACCAAACAAAGTAGTCTGCCGTGCCATTTTCGTTAGGCCACGCTCCACATGGGAACTGTTCCAACCATTGGCGATGTAGCAATTCTTCGATGTGGAGTTCAAATAAGAGCTGGACTTGACCCGGATTAATCAGGTATTGTGATACTTCGAATAATTGTGCAATAATTATACTTGTGAATAATATCTGACAAACTTCCCTCTTTCTTTTGCTTCAAGAGTTTCGATCTCCACTACATTTTTGGAGACAACAATCTACGTGTACGTGTGGTTCGACGCACGCAGACCCACGCACACGCAGTACTGGGCGCCAGGTCCGCGTGTCATCGATATTTTATTTACTTTGAATTTCGGCTGCACCCACCACCCAGGTACGAAAATTTCACGGATTGTAAAAACTATCGACATTTACGGACGGCCCCTTACGAACATGACGTGCATATTTTTCTGCTGTTCTACTGTCATGGACATGGAAATCCGGTCGCACGTCTAGCGGCCCCAGGGCGCTGGCCATGCAGCCATGGGTAAGCAGTACACACATGCATGACATTATTATGCTGGTCGCATCGGATCAACATGTGCACTGTTCTGTAGGCGCTGAGGGCGCCGGGCCCCGGTCAATTGACTGAATTTCCATGTTCACGACAGTACATCATATACTCGTATATACTAGATACTGTATCCAGATCAGGAACGCGGTTTCCCCATTGCAAGGCAAAGTTTTCCCCTGACCCCTGTACAAGACAACCCATTGTAAAACAATTTTAATCCAGCCCCTCCTATACAAGACAACATGAAACATTGATCGAGCTACAGGAGCTAGAAAGAAACAAATCCAGACAAATCACATTCAAACGTTCCGCCTAGCTGCTGGCAGGGCAACATGGGACCATCCGAGCAATTTTGTAGTCCATGGTCATTTGCTTTGTCTTGTAATGACTGGGAATCAAACCTGTCAGACAGCTAAAAGTGATTTTTTATAATGAATTTTTTCTACAAAAGAATTGTCTCTTATCCGGATTTGCATATACTACCATTATACAAATGAGAGTCCTCCGGCTTGGTAGAGTGCTCAAATAGAGCTATCTTACACACGACACAGAACACCACGCATCATTCGTTGCCTAGCGGCATGAAACAATAAGTTACAATGAATGATGCGTGGTGCTCTGTGTCGTGTGTACTGCCATTACACAATGTACACATGGTGTCAGGGAATTTTAGATCTTTGTCTGCTAATGACGGTTGTCTTGTAACCTATGTCGTACTAACAACGTTAAATCTGCACTAGTACACTCATGTCTCTCTAACCCGGACCTCAAAGTTACGGGCACCTACACTGTAGGTATAGTAGGCACCCTATGGTTGGGTTTTAGTGGTAATATTACTACTCTTCTGCCAACATTTGTACAACTATTGATGTCATATGCCAGATCTCTGGCTCTTCCACATGCAAACGTATGTGATTGAGAGTTATGGACATTTCAGAGTTACGGACAATTCAAAGTCACAGGCAGTGTCTGGTCTGGGATCGCCCGGAGAAGAGAGATACATACTTGCCAACCCAGCCAAAGCAAATCCCTTAGTCACACACCCAGTTTCTCTTAATTTTCTTTCATTTCCCTTATTTTCCTGGTTTTCGCCAATTTCGCCAATTTCGGCCATTTTCTCTTTTTTGGGGCAATTTTTGATTATTTTTGCGTATTTTCCGCAATCTTTTGGCAATTTTGGTCAATTTTTTTCATTTCTTAGGGGTCGTCCGTAATTATCGAACTTTTTTCACGAAACGAAATAATTTCGTTATGGGGTGGGAGGGGGTTGACCAAATTCGTTTCAGAAAACTTCGATACATGTACATGGCCATAGGAGCAGTGACACACTTGCGACTTTTGTTGTATATGCATGTATATGTCAACAATTTTTACGTTCTGAGGGGGAGGGAGGGAGGGGTTGGATCTAAACTAAAATAATTCGTTTGGTGAAAAAAGTTCGATATTTACGGACGGCCCCTTACTCATTGCTTATTGGGGGACCAAAACCTGAGTTTCTTTATTGTCAGATCGCCCCTACATGTACATGTGTGATTCTGTGAAATGCAGGGCCGCATGTGCCCTTGTCACACCACGAAACAACCTTTTTTATGAACACTCATGGTTCAGTGCCAATACCGGTAGTTTTTCGATGAAAGTCAAAAAGCCCCGGTAGGCCGGTAGTGACCGTAGTTTCCCGGTACAATACCGGGAAAACCGGTATGGTTGGCAAGTATGGAGATACAATGTATGAGTGTGAAATTGGCATGGAAACAAGCTTCAAATCTAAAAGAAATCAATAGTTAGGATTCAGCTAGTTAAAAGAACACTTATAAGCAAATATAATAGCAAAAAAAGAGAACAAATTCTGTTGTCATCGCCACACTACAACGAAGTCATGAAAGTTTTCCAAAATTAATTTTCTTGTCACATTCATCAGTGGAAAGTCGTGACTGAAGAGTAACCATGCTGAACAATGATTAAATATACATTCAATAATGTGTTACGAGAACAAAATAAAGTGCTAAAATAGAATGAGGGAAGGTGAGACAATAGAAGTGAAGTGAGAGCTAAGTGCAACGGCGGGTGAGAAACTAATTGTAACGCTAGAACTGTGTAGTGAGACAAACAACCATGCTGTGCACCTACGAAAACAATCTTAACGCAACTACAGTCGAATGTCACTTATCCGACCACTTCGGGAATCAGGTATGTTGGATAACTGGATATGTTGGATAACTGATATCATTTTATGTGCATATATGGCTGGATTTCACTAATTTATGTGACAATACCCAAATATATTCATGCATATTCATGAATTGCTCCATGTACACATACATGTTAGCATACTTGACCACATCTACTTCAAGTAAATGCATATTGTGGGGATTGCCCTATCAACAATTTGATAATAATAATAATATTACAAAGCACTACGGAGATGTGTTGAAGCTAGGTGTCAGGACGTTGAATGTCTCAGTACTCTTGTCAGTTTTGTGCCTAGTTATTGCACTTTCTGACTGTATGTAGTATCCAGTTACAGTGATGGAGAGTTACTCTTAACTCGTATCCATATGTCCTTTTCCTTTCCACATTTATTTATGGCTCAAAATCCGAGTTTCAAATATTACAAAGTATAATATAAAAAAAATTACCCAATGCTGTAGACAGTAAGCTGTTTCGGCCATAAAGGCCTCATCAGTACAGCTACGAGCTAAATAGGCCGAGCTACCAGCCATGGTGCAAAGGAGGCACCACAGACATTAAGATAGCACGTTGCTCTAGCGCCAGAGTGAGAGTGCTCAAACTACAAAAAGTAGCGGGCATTGCGCGATGCAGCAGCACTAGAGCAGCCTACTGAGAGTGCTCAACAAGGCGAAAGCCGAGGAGCGTGATACCCAATGCTGTAGACAGCAAGCTGTTTCGGCCATAACGGCCTCATCAGTACAGCTACGAGCTAAATAGGCCGAGCTACCAGCCATGGTGCAAAGGAGGCACCACAGACATTAAGATAGCTCGTCGCTCTAGCGCCAGAGTGCTCAAACTACAAAAAGTAGCGGGCATTGCGCGATGCTTCATATAAAAAAAAAAAATAGAATTTTACTGTTGAGACTCATAAAATTACCACTCCCGGCTTGTCGGATAACAGACTTTCAACTGACTGGCATACCGTGCACGACAAAGAACAGAAAAACTAAAATCATCATACGCCTGCAGACACTTAGGGTGAGACAACAAATGAAGAAAAACGGCAGACTTCTTACGATCACAATCACCATTCGATTCCTCGTCTCCGACAACCGCAACCTCGTCCTCCGTCTCATCTTCCAACTTGTCCTCAGTGTCGTCCTCCATGTCATTCTCCTCATCAACACCGATCGGTCCCAGGCTCGCTTCATGTTGCTTAACCTCTGTTCGTTGACTCCTCCTTTGATCTTGATGGTAAATTGTTACCATTGTTAAATGTTGTTGTTGTTGTTGTTGTTGTTGTTGTTGTTGTTGTTGTTGTTGTTGTTGTTTGAATTCTTTTATTCTCACGATGGCCTGTGGCCAATAAGAGAAAAATAATTACAGGCACGGGGATCAGATACAGAGAGATCAAAGTTTAGCTGCTTGCTGAGGCAGTAGCGATGGTAATACTAATTGGGAGTTAATCACGTAGGCTGGGCGCAATGGAGCTATAGATGTGCTGAGCAATGTGAGCAAGTACATACGGAAGAGATGACAAGTGGTAGGATGTTTGCTTTGAAATCTCGTCTGGGGTTGATTTGCCGGATGCTGGGTGGGATGCTATTAAAGAGATCAAGAGAAGCATAGATGGGGGAGTCTCTTAGCCGGTTTGTACGTGTTGTGGGTAGCTCAAAGGTTCGGGGGAACCTGAGCGTGCGAATGGGTTGTATTCGGGGTAGGTGAATTGCAAGAAGGTGTGGTGGTGCATATCTATGATGCAGGCTGTGTGTTGTTGTTGTTGTTGTTGTTGTTGTTGTTGTTGTTGTTGTTGTTGTTGTTGTTGTTGTTGTTGTTGTTGTTGTTGTTGTTGTTGTTGTTGTTGTTGTTGTTGTTGTTGTTGTTGTTGTTGTTGTTGTTGTTGTTGTTGTTGTTGTTGTTGTTGTTGTTGTTGTTGTTGTTGTTGTTGTTGTTGTTGTTGTTGTTGTTGTTGTTGTTGTTGTTGTTGTTGTTGTTGTTGTTGTTGTTGTTGTTGTTGTTGTTGTTGTTGTTGTTGTTGTTGTTGTTGTTGTTGTTGTTGTTGTTGTTGTTGTTGTTGTTGTTGTTGTTGTTGTTGTTGTTGTTGTTGTTGTTGTTGTTGTTGTTGTTGTTGTTGTTGTTGTTGTTGTTGTTGTTGTTGTTGTTGTTGTTGTTGTTGTTGTTGTTGTTGTTGTTGTTGTTGTTGTTGTTGTTGTTGTTGTTGTTGTTGTTGTTGTTGTTGTTGTTGTTGTTGTTGTTGTTGTTGTTGTTTGTTGTTGTTGTTGTTGTTGTTGTTGTTGTTGTTGTTAAATCGTGTGTTCCCAGTATCTTCACCGGTGCTTGACATCCAGTACTGTAATAATTCATTGAATAATTCGCCGTTGATCGTCTAGGTCTTTGAATGTTGATCGTGTTGCTTTCTTTGTTGAATTACGTTCCCTTCAGCCTTCTTTCTCCTTGTTCACGTTCAGTGCTTGCCTCATCCATATTTGCACGTGCCACCAACACCACAGACTCAGCCCCAGCACTGCCGATGACAGATGCAGGTGGCGGTTTTGGGGGAGGCAACGACGGCGATGGGGACATCACCTCATCGCAGCGTCCATTTTGGTCTTGAGCTGAATGTTGTTGTGGTGTGCTATCTTGTGTTGTTATGGTGCATTGTGTTGTGGTGGCAATATGCACATTTTCCGTCTTCAAGGCTCTCGATACGGGTAATGGAGGCACTATTGCCGATGACGGCAATTGTGCTAACGATGGCAGTGGCCTAGGGTTCTTAGGTGGCCTGCCGCGCTTGGGCCACAGTGCCCGTGCCGAGCCAGTCAGCATATGCAGTGGGACGTCATGGGCGTAGGAACCGGTCCGGCAGGCCCGGCGGTCGCCGGACCAATGATTTTCGAATTTTTTTATTTTTATTTTTAATCATTTCAAATTTGTTGATGGCTTGCCGACTCTTGTACAGGTACCATGTTTTACATCGACAATGCGGTGTATCATCAGCAATCAGCATGCATATTCTTATTTCTCATATTATTCTGTAGCATTAAAATAATTATGGCCTTTTAGGCCCAATTTTCAAAAAATTCGCGCGGGACGACCCCCGGACCCCCTCTCACAATTTCGCCGCACCAATATTAAACTGCTTCCTACGCCCCTGGACGTGCTGCTCGATACGTGTGTTCAGATGTTGAAGAGTCCTACCAACGTAATGACTACCGCATTGTCGGCACTCAAATTGGTATACCAATTTAGATGCGAGTTGGGTTGATAGGACATCCTTCCTCACCTTGAACGCACGTACAGTTGTGAAAACGTACCACTGCATAATTATGCTGACTGACCGCAGAAACTCGATTGCATATGCCGACCATAGAAACTGGATTGTACATGCCGACCATAGAAACTGGATTGTACATGCCGACCGTAGAAACTGGATTGTATATGCTGACCATAGAAACTGGATTGTACATGCCGACCATAGAAACTGGATTGTACATGTCGACCGTAGAAACTGGATTGTATATGTCGACCATAGAAACTGGATTGTATATGCCGACCATAGAAACTGGATTGTACATGCCGACCATAGAAACTGGATTGTACATGCCGACCGTAGAAACTGGATTGTATATGTCGACCTTAGAAACTGGATTGTACATGGCGACCATAGAAACTGGATTGTACATGTCGACCGTAGAAACTGGATTGTATATGTCGACCATAGAAACTGGATTGTATATGCCGACCATAGAAACTGGATTGTACATGCCGACCATAGAAACTGGATTGTACATGCCGACCGTAGAAACTGGATTGTATATGTCGACCTTAGAAACTGGATTGTACATGGCGACCATAGAAACTGGATTGTACATGTCGACCATAGAAACTGGATTGTACATGCCGACCGTGGAAACTGGATTGCACATTAGTCATAGCCCAAATTTGCTAGCAATTCTTTGAGAAAAATATCGGATGCGCAAGTTGCCAGCAAGTTTTGAGCAAAATATCGAGTTTTGGTGGGCTTTTCAGAAAATCCAAGGCTTCTCAGGAACTTTCTCAACGCAATCAGTCCCCAAGGTTGAAAACAAGCACAAAAGTTGGACAAAACAGACCCATGGCCACATTTTGTACAAAGTTGAGCAGCGTGCAGGAGCTCAATCAAAAGTTCTCTCGTCATCAGCGAAAATTATCATTGAGTTTTCCTTGAAACTCATTTTTCTCGAGCAAAGCCAAAGCAAAATACCGACGGAAAAAGGAAATGCCAAGAAGAATATCAAAAAAATTGTGGTAAAATATCGATGTGGGCAGAGCAAATTTGGGCCATGACTATTGTACATGCCGACCGTGAAAACTGGATTGTATATGCTGACCATAGAAACTGGATTGTATATGCTGACCATAGAAACTGGATTGTACATGTCGACCATAGAAACTGGATTGTACATGTCGACCATAGAAACTGGATTGTATATGCCGACCGTAGAAACTGGATTGTATATGCTGACCATAGAAACTGGATTTTACATGCCGACCGTGGAAACTGGATTGTATATGCTGACCAAAGAAACTGGATTGTAAATGTCGACCATAGAAACTGGATTGTACATGCCGACCGTAGAAACTGGATTGTATATGCCGACCATAGAAACTGGATTGTATATGCCGACCATACAAACTGGATTGTACATGTCGGCCGTAGAAACTTCACTCCACTTGTTTTATACCATGGCTGACAGTGTGTCCTAAGACTGTGTGCGGTTCCTTAAGGGGGCACATCACCCACAAATTTCATATGGCATTCAATTGACCGTAACTTTGGTGTTTCTCAGTGGATTTGAGTGAAATTTTGACCACACACTCCTGCCACTATGCTGGCCCTCAGGACATGATTTACAAGTTCTTGCGCCTCACTGACAGGCTTTCCAGGCCGGAAAAACTCAAATTTCCGGCATAGTGCTACGGTGTGTGAGCCACCCAGGAGCCAAACAAATGCATTTACATTTTTTTCACATTTTCGTGCCCATTCTGTCCGTGCGCGGGACCCAAACCTAAAACAAGTCCAGAAGCAGCCATGGGTGGTGGGGTAGGGCCCCTCAACGTGGCCCTGGAATCTGTCACAACGGAACGAGTGGGCGTTCTTTCACGGACTCCCACAGACCCAAGTCAATTTTTGAATTTTTTTAGGTTTAGCACGTGCTACGAGGTCGTACCTTTGATACAACATCCAGTGCTGGGACCTCCACAGCAAGCCATTTCCACAGCGCTGCACACCAAATCCAGGATGCTCTCAGAAACCGGCAAAGACTGCCACTCACGTTTCACTACTGCCTAGTACTGAATCCTACCTGACTTCTTGACACGACTCAACTTGCCAAAGTCACTAAATCAACGTCAACTACAATAATCAAGCCACATATCTGCAACGTCACGAGGGCGCTGGCAAAAGTCCTGCTGCACGGCGGCGGGCTTCGCCCGCCGCCGTGCAGCCCAATACGTGTTTTTTTAACGTGATTTTTTGGACTTTTTTGGACTTGGGGCAAAATTCTGCACACTTTCGCGTGTTTCCATAATACGACAAGTTGCGCACGGTCTGCTCACATTCAAATACAGTGCTGCCAACAAATGACAGCATGCAACAAAAAAATCTTTCCTTGCAAGGGCACATTTTCGGCCATAACTCTTGAACGGCTGGTCAGATAGGGACACAGTTTTCAGAGAATTTGCAGCTATGCATGCTCTTTCAACTGACGTAGCACTCAATATGAATTTATAAATTCGATTTTTCAGCGAATCACCCAAAAATTCGCTGAAAAATCGAATTTGTAAATTCATATTGAGTGCTACGTCAGTTGAAAGAGCATGCATAGCTGCAAAATCACCCAAAAATTCGCTGAAAAATCGAATTTGTAAATTCATATTGAGTGCTACGTCAGTTGAAAGAGCATGCATAGCTGCAAATTCTCTGAAAACTGTGTCCCTATCTGACCAGCCGCTCAAGAGTTATGGCCGAAAATGTGCCCTTGCAAGGAAAGATTTTTTTGTTGCATGCTGTCATTTGTTGGCAGCACTGTATTTGAATGTGAGCAGACCGTGCGCAACTTGTCGTATTATGGAAACACGCGAAAGTGTGCAGAATTTTGCCCCAAGTCCAAAAAAGTCCAACAAATCACGTTAAAAAACCACGTATTGGGCTGCACGGCGCCGGGCGAAGCCCGCCGCCGTGCAGCAGGACTTTTGCCAGCGCCCTCGTGACGTTGCAGATATGTGGCTTGATTATTGTAGTTGACGTTGATTTAGTGACTTTGGCAAGTTTGAGTCGTGTCAAGAAGTCAGGTAGGATTCAGTACTAGGCAGTAGTGAAACGTGAGTGGCAGTCTTTGCCGGTTTCTGAGAGCATCCTGGATTTGGTGTGCAGCGCTGTGGAAATGGCTTGCTGTGGAGGTCCCAGCACTGGATGTTGTATCAAAGGTACGACCTCGTAGCACGTGCTAAACCTAAAAAAATTCAAAAATTGACTTGGGTCTGTGGGAGTCCGTGAAAGAACGCCCACTCGTTCCGTTGTGACAGATTCCAGGGCCACGTTGAGGGGCCCTACCCCACCACCCATGGCTGCTTCTGGACTTGTTTTAGGTTTGGGTCCCGCGCACGGACAGAATGGGCACGAAAATGTGAAAAAAATGTAAATGCATTTGTTTGGCTCCTGGGTGGCTCGCACACCGTAGCACTATGCCGGAAATTTGAGTTTTTCCGGCCTGGAAAGCCTGTCAGTGAGGCGCAAGAACTTGTAAATCATGTCCTGAGGGCCAGCATAGTGGCAGGAGTGTGTGGTCAAAATTTCACTCAAATCCACTGAGAAACACCAAAGTTACGGTCAATTGAATGCCATATGAAATTTTTGGGTGATGTGCCCCCTTAAGCGACTATGTGGAATGTTGGCACAGCATGATGGTAAGTCGTGTAGTAAAGTGATGGCATATGTTAGGTGTCGCCGGTCCTTTGCTCTGCTTCGAGCGGCAGTTATGTGCATCGGAAGAGCAAGATCGGTATATCATCGGCCCATCAACGTCTTGCGTCCGCTGGCAATGGTAGAAGCACGGTTATAACAATCTTTATGATGATGTTTGGCTGTCGTTTTTGCATGTTTTGTTTGTTTGTTTTGTTGCAGAGGTATTTTATTTATTTATTTATGTTATTGTTGTTGTTATTTCAAATTTGGACTTCACGGAGAATTTTCAAAGTGTTAGGAAATTTGAGGCCACATGCCACGTAATGCTCTTTTCTCTCCGAAACTCAACACTTGCAATCTAGATATGAAAGAAAGAAAAATCATCAGTCACACCACCAGGACTCGAACCAGGGACCTTGCTATTCGCGAGCAATGCTCGGTCCCTGGTTCGAGTCCTGGTGGTGTGACTGATGATTTTTTCTTTCTTTCATATCTGGCTTGCAAGTGTTGAGTTTCGGAGAGAAAAGAGCATTACGTGGCATGTGGCCTCAAATTTCCTAACACATTGTTGTTGTTATTGTTGAAATTATATTTTTGTATCGCAGACCAAACGGCCATGGTGCCCAATATTATGATGGCGATAAAGTAACGGCCAAAAGCCAAGGCTACAACAAGCAAGCCTCCACGAAAGAGAGAAAAACACAGACCGCAAATACTCAAAAATAAAAAGAGAAAGGAAAAAATGAAAAAGAAGAAGAAAAAAGCACAAGTGTGACTCCGGAATTGTAAGTTCTTATCATCCAAATTGCCCACTTGAGTCTATTGCCCAGTTCTTGTATTCTACATTGAACATTGTATTATATCGAGTTTCACCATGACTAATTCAGGTTGCCGATTGGGAATTGCATTGCATTCATTGTGTTATTTTCCCCTACAAGAGGCTTATGAGAAAACCTATTCACAAGCCCGCTTATTCAGGACGATCAATGACAGGATTTCGCGGCATAATACGGTTGGATGCACAATGGGGCTGAAGTTCGAGACAGGTCCCCATGCTTTTCCTGGATTTTGCAAGAATATCAATGACCCATGGCCAATGCTCCTCATGGGGATATTTTTTTGGATCACTGTATTTTTAAAAGATCCGTGTCATCCTGCTATGTACCACGGGCAGCGGCGCGTACTTGAGACACTCACCAAGTCATCTGGCTATTTATTTGTCAAGGCCAGTAGCCAGAAAATCGATGAACAATGACACGTGACACACCGTTGGGAAGTCATTCATGTATGCTTGCCCATCATGCAAAAACTCGAGGGTGCTGGGCGAAGAAAATGTAGGCAGGCGAAGAATGTCAAGGGAAAGAATTGTTCCATGCACACCACCACCCCATGCACCATACCGTACTGTAAAAAAAAAAGAAAGTAAATTATCGTGTCCGTTCCCGAAGGGAACTCACGACGGCCGCTAACACCCGGTAAACCCTAGCGGCAGATGCAGCGCCTAACGGTGGGGGTGAGTGGGTAAGTCTTACAACCACTGGCACAAGTGCCGAGAACGACCCCATTAGCTGCATCCATGTACCCCTTGTGCCTGGCCACAAGTTCCCAGTTGACTGTGGGTAGCAGCACGGCTGGAAAAACCGCTCCCAGGTAGGACTTGAACCAGGTACCTCTCGTATCTCAATCATGGTCTTTGACCAACCCACTGTGCCTGCCTGGTGCACCGTACTGTAGTAACGCACATATAGCCACATGTGTCTATAATCGGATATAAGGGCACT